TTCAACAGATGTCTAGGAATATAGCCCATTGATATCTTTTTTTTTTTTTTTTTGGTACCGGGGATCGAACTCGGATCCTTGTGCTTGCAAGGCAGACGACAGAACCACTGAGCTAAATCCCCGGCCCAAGGATGTGATTTATGATGTGATGCTAGAGTTAAGGGTGTGAGTGCTACCTGCCCTAAGGGTGGACAGCCTGGGTAAGATATAAGGGGCAGAAAGAGGGTCATCACTTGTTGCTTGTTGTTGCTGCCATTTGTCTTCGGCTGCCTCCTGCCTCCTCTGTCTGCTCCTCCACCAACCACCCTGCCTTGGAGCCAGCCAATTACAGATTGAAACCTCTACAAACTGTGAGCCAAATAAAGCTCTCCTCCTTTAACTATGGCTGTCGGGGATTTTGTCTCAGCAACAAGAATAAAGTAACTAAGACAGAGGGGGAATATTTGAAGGTGGATTAATGGCAATGTATCTTTTACTGTAATAAATTATTTTTAATTTAAACATTCACTATATGTTTTGATTACACCTTGTATATGTTTAAATTATTAACGATATAAACAATAACACCGAGAAAGGGAGAAGGTTGAGTGTACACAAGCTCCCCAAATATTATGTTCAGGTTGAAATGGCATCTTGTTCATTTTTCAAAGGTAAGAAATAGAAACATGCCGACTGAAACAAGCTGGACAAACTGAAATATGCAAAAAGTGCATTAGGAGCAGCTCACAGAAAACTTGTGGAAGAGGCGGTCACCCAGGCTGTTCTGTAGGAGGGGAAAGATGTGGCCAGGCCTGTGGGCACAGCCCGCCCAGCGTGCACCCTGCTGCTAGCGACAGCACCAGAGTTTCCCTCTGAGGAAAGCACCTCCCCACGCTCTGCACAGCCCGGCTCTGGCCAGTCCTGTCTTCTAACTCTGGGCTGGGATGGGTGTGGTCTGGAGGGCTGAGGGTGCCACTGAGCAATGCACAACACACGTGGAGAAGCTGTGGGTGCTGCTTGGCTAGGTAGTTGGGATGTAGAGCCAGAGCCACCCGGGGTGCTGGGGTACTGAATATACCCCCATGAAAATGGCCACAGAGCGACCACATTCCAATGAGCCCCAGAAGCTGAGGTCACACCCGCACTTTCCAGCCCGTGAACCCCTAAAGCCCCCCACTCCTTTCTTTTGCTGACGCTGGTTTGACAGGGATTTTTCTGGCCCCAGGAAATGGCCAGAATCCCAGTACCATGGTGACGCAGCTGCAGTGGCCTTGTGATGTTCTCACATAAGGAGAGCTCTGTGGCATCTTGAGGAAAGCTGCAGATCTACTGATTTCATACCTTATTGCAAGTGAAATCACATTCTTTCTTGATTTTCTATTTACTGGTGTTAATTTGAGCTCACACCATCCAAATAGTTTTCGGATGTAAGAATTCAACATGTCAAAGGGAACAGGTGCAGGAATCTCTGTAAGTGGTGTTAATCTAAAAGGTGCACAGCAGCGTTTGAGTTATGTGAAAAATCCAGTGACACCATCTTTATGGAACAGGGCTGGAGCAGGTCGGCTTCATGTGCCCCAGCACCGTGCAGCTGGCTCCAGAGTAACAGTGCCGCTGTCAGGGTTTTTCACTGCAGACAAAGTAACAGGGCGATGCAGGTCTGCTGTTCCAGGACCCTGCAGGGCCGTGAAGGAGGCCTGTCTCAGTGGAGGAAAGATGGAGACCGAGGTGACTCACTTGGGTGCATAAGGATCGAAAAGAGCATCAAAGTCCTCGTCCAGCTCCACAGGGCTCCTGGGTACGTTGTGATCCACGCTGCGGTAAAATTTGGCAAAGGTCTCATCGTCATCCAACTTCATCACCTCCTTAACGGATTTACCCGTGACAGTGAGCACCGTTTCTCCGACTATCAACAAACAAGCGAGTAAGCAACAGCAGAGTTCTATAAAAACAGTCACTGAGGCTGTCCCTTGCAATAAGTGAAAAGTTTCCATCGCCCAGGAGCAAACCCGCCCAGGGCAACGGTGGGGCAGTGGCTGCCCTTGGGGCCCACAGTTCCACTGAGCCTTTCCGAGCCTCACCTTCTCCTGCAGGAGAGCTAACCTCTGCCTCATCCCATTTAGGGGTCAGCTAAGTTTTTCTGCAGAAGATCAAGCAAGAAATATTTTAGGCTTTGCACAGGGAGCCACATGGCCAGTGTTGCAACTACTCAGTTCTGTTGTTCTAGTGCAAAAGTGGTGACTGACAATAGGGTCAGAAACAGCCACAGCTGTGTTCCAATAAAACTTTATTGAAAAAAGCAGTGAGCACTGGCTTTAGCTGCAGCCGTTGTTTGCTAACTGTGTCCCAGATCACTGTTACAGGTCCGCGTTGTTGGCATTCCTTTCCTACCAGGTCAGGTACGATCGTACACTTTTATACTGCTGCTTTACAGTAACTGTTTTCTATTATTTTCAACCTTCTAGGGGTCACTGTAAATAACAGCGATTCCCAAGGTCTAGTATTCGATAAGTTTCATGTACTGAACATTTTTAACCAAGAGATAAAAGGCTGTTTCTGCATATTATTCTTTTGTGGACTTTATTGACTTTTGCAATGAAATATTTATCTCAGTATCTATATACTAACATTTTCTCTTAGAAATCATTTGTGATTTCAAGAAAGAATATCAGCTTTTTCGATACATACAATGGGAAGTTTATGTAAGATCACGTTGATTTTGCATATTTATAATTGTTTTCACAGCTAAAAGCACAATCACTGAATTCCTAATTCTGATCCGGAGACTGCTGAAAGGTTTAGATTCAGGAACAAATGCGTTATTGGGAGACGGGGAAATCACAGCTTGGTACACTTCATCAGGCTTGACCCAAACTTTACTTTTTGAAAGATAACAACAAAGATGATGCTTACCTAAGAATTAGTAAATCTATAGTAGAAGGGTGACAACTTAGTGAGGAGAAAAAGCCATCAATCAGGATTTGGGGATTCTGAGATAGGGCAGGATTATTTAGGTTTTCTTAGCCAACAAAGCCTCCCTTCTGGCTTCCCGTATGTACCTTTGTTATTTAGCCTTCTTAGAAAGGTTTCTAGCCTGTCCAACTTCAGGTCCGATTCCAACTGCATATCTGGTCTGGCTTCAATATCTAAGCAAGGGGAGACCATCGGTGAGAGCCTGTCCTTGGAGACGCCTCCAATCAGAAAATCAGGCCACAATGAGCTCCTTGGTGACTCACCTTCCCGAGGCTTGGAAACTGGTGTAGTGCCCCTCAGTTTGCTGCCAAGAGGGGACGCTACTGGGGTTATGGCCGTGGGTGACGCCAAACCTGCAGGCAGATGGTGGAGCAAAGACTTAGCATCTTAAAATCTCCCCTGGACCCCGGTCATCCCCATGAGCCCCAGTGCAGACTACAACTTACAAGAACTTCTGCCTGTACCTGTGCACGCATTCCACACATGGGTGTCTGGCAGGTCCCACAGCTGCGGGGCAACTGCCACTGCACACAGGGTTTGTTGTTCCTGACGAGCTGATGTTCCAAAATGAATGACGGAGCCATGGGAAAGCTTATCAGTGTTGTGTAAATGGAATAAGAGTGTGCAAGGCAATCAGAAGACAGCCAAACCAATGGAGTTCTCAGTTCTGAAGGGTGGGAGGTTCCACTGATGGGGGGGAGCGAGCTGCACCATCTCCCACAGAGGAAGTTAAGGTAAACTGCATCACACTTGCCACCAGGCAGCCCCAGCCCTGGACGTAAGGACAGTCTGGCCTTGTGACGTTACACAAGACAATGACCCAAGGGCGCTGACCTTTGAGAAGACACTGGAGAGTGAGCGTGTGGCAGAGTGATCTGTGATTGGTGGAGGCCCACACTCGTCTCTGGGGTGGCTGCATGCTGGCGTGCTTTCTAGGTGTGCACCGAGAGGCAGGATGGGAGTCTTCAGAAGGGCCGAGAGGAAGGGGCACGTGAAGGGGAAAGAAGAATTTTGGAACAGAGATGGGATCCAGGTGGAACAAGAAAACTTCATGAAGACAAAGTTAAGTAATTTTTCCTAATTTAAGGGAGGAGATTGGAAAGGGAAGTAATGAATGTGTTTATGAAGAACACAATGTTGATGTTCTCCTCCTTAGGTGACTGACTGTGCCCCTTTAAGCATCCTGAAGAACACCCAGAGCTTACATGGACCACTGTCATTTACAAGGGAAATTCAGAGCATGAGTTACGCTGCTCCTTCCTCCTGTGAGCTGGCAACCTAAGTATCATAGCATAAAAACCTTAAGGAAGAATGGCAATAAATGGCTTAAGTTTTAGGTAATATTCTGGAAATACTTCTCAATTTGGACATATACTTGTATAGATCCATTTGCAAATATACTGTATTTTAAAATTTGTTTCAGTTACCAGATCTTCAAAGGTTTTCCATGAGAAAGCAAGCTTTCCTGAAAGATTGTAATAGAAGCCAGGAACATCGTGAAGTGGAAGAGTTTGTGAGCAGAGAAGTCGTGATCTCTCAAGCTAATGAACAGGACTCAACTCGGAAGGCTGATTTACAAAGCAAACAGCAGAATCTGCCCTCCTCTTTCTGTGGACAGGGCAACTCCCACACCTGCTGCCACACACCCCTGCTGGCCACCCAGGAGGTAGTGCACCAGGAGGTCCCAAAGCTGAGGCAAGACACAGTCCTCTTCCCAGCGGAGAGATGTTTCCCTGATGAAGGAGAACTTACTGATTCAAGCTACAAAATATTAAAACAAACTGAAGCCCTCTTCATACTTGTTTTCAATGACTTCCAGATGGAAGGAACGATGATCAGTTCTCTCTGGGAATATTTTCACATCTCTCTATTCAAAAGTATGCTTTGGAAAAAAACAAAAACAAAAACAAACAAACAAAAAAAGCCAGGGATTTAGCTCAGTGGTTTTGCTGCCTGCCTGGCAAGCGCAAGGTCCCGAGTTCGATCCCAGGTACCAAAAAAAAAAAAAGTATACTTTGGGGGCTAGGGATTTAGCCCAGTGGTGCCGCTGCCTGACTCGAAAGTGCAAGGTCCTGAGTTTGATCCCCAGTACCCCCAAAAAAGGATGCTTTTGAATATCCTTCTTCCAGGACAGTCGTGGAGTACCACACAAACCATGAGGAGTGCTAATTGTTCCGCAGAACCCAGGAGCATCAGAGGGGGAGAATGCTTTAGGGAAGCTGAGGCACAGAGCTTCCCGGGTGACGTGGAATTGGGGTTCAGCACGTGTCCTGGAGCTCCCGACAGGGGTCACTCCGGTGGCACCACTGGGATAGGCAGACTTCTCTCTGTGGCTGTTGTGTACGGGCTGCTTTGCTCTGCAGTGAATGTAAGCTGGGTGTACTGCAAATCAAAATGAACTAAAAGTTCAACTGAAACATATGACCCAGTAGGATCACAACAAATAGTAGAAAAATGTGATACAGGTTTTTTTTATTAGATTAAAAGTTCAAGAGAGCTGGGGGTATAGCTCCATGGTACAGTGCTTCCTTAGCAAGTGTGAGGTACTGGGCTTGATCCCCAGTATTGCAAAAAAGAAAAGTATTTCCTGCGTAAGCCATACAGCAGGTGTTGAATAAATATCCCTGATTTACTCAAGAAAATGGGAAAGCAAATGCATTCACTGAGGCATAAGAACTATTTGTTATCCAAACCCATATCAGAGCAAGTTTTCCTTTGATATCAGAACTTCAGGGCACAGGGGACATTTAAGAGCTCACTTAAAAAATAAGTTACAATTTTGAAGATGGGAGCAGACAAAAGAAATCAATGCAGAAAGTCATCAGGATATGAGCAAGAGCAGCAGTCAGAAGATCTGGCTCTGAGTGAAGTCCTCAGCTCCAGCTGTGTTTATCAGTCAGTACCCTCAGTCTGCTTTGCTAGTGGAGGGACGGGGCTCATGTGACAGTCGGTTAATCATGACTGTACAGTTTTGTGATTTGATGAGGAAAATAGTCAAAGATGCCTCATTCTGTGGGTGTAAGCTATGTTTACACTAAGGATCCTTCCACTAAGATTCCAATTAACTATAATTCAAGATTTCCCCCTCCCTCTCTTTCTTTCTTCTGCAAAGTTATTTTGTGTCTACAATAAGTTAGGATCCCTAAAAGTTTTGAGTAAGAGGAATGCTAAACCTCTAGGCTGATGACAACATGTTAAGACTAAGTAAATGTGAACACTTTGGCCATTAACTTAGGAAATCTGCTTTCAAATAATAGCTTGGAAAATAAAGGTACGTGCATAGTGCACATAATGACCAAGGGACACCTGTATTTTTCTGTGTTTACAGGACACAACATGAAGCCCCAAACTCTCCCATAGAGCTCAAAGCTTTCTGGTGATGTTTCTAACCACGTGACATGTCAGTCAGTGTCATGGGGTCTCTAGGCTTCAGGGCAGTGCTAGGGACTCTGCTACTCAGCAATGAGCTTCTGCAGGGAGAACCCATCCCATGCAATGGAAGAGTCCTTCAGACAGCTTCTAAAACAAATCTGGAAACTGGCCTTTGAGGCCAGAGCAGTCTGTTTTGATAAAAAGAGACCTAGGGATTAACCTACAAGGGAGAGGAGATAAACTCCTTTATTGGTAAAGGCTTACTTGGGATAAGCAGATGCCAACTCATAAGCAAATGGAAACAGTTTAAGAATAATTATGGGAAAGGACCGAGATTTATTAGCAGATTTGCAATTGCTTTTGAAACCTAGACTTGCTCTCAATTCCCGAATGGATACGTTTTGAAATAGTGACAAATTGAAGAGTGAGATGTAGCTCAGAGATAGAGTGCTTGACTCGTGGGTGTGCAGTTTTGGTTGGATCTGCAGCACCATTAAAAAAAAAAAAAGGGAAAACTGACAAGTTGAATCACGCTTCTTCCGCTGAAGATGACACGAACTGACTCTGAAGTAAAGGCATCTGGTAGGAATATTCCACAAAACTTATTGTGAAAATATGCACAGGGCATCAGTGCCGTGTCGGGGACAGGGAAGAAAACGGACCAAGACTTGGTGTGTGTAAGCACAGCTCCCCACGGCAGACATACTCATCCTGCACCAGAAATGCACACTTCTAGGAAAAGATTTTAAAGGATTTTAGAAGGCCGTCGCTTGTTTACCAGAGCGGTCACAGCCCTTGTCACGTCTAGTGTGGGCAACCAGTGAGCGCGCACCTGCACACGTGCGTGCGCTGGCTCTCACCTTTCTTCACCATCCTGCCAGCCACCGTGAACTGGGTGGAGTCGTTGGCAGCGCCTCTGCCCTTGGTCTTCCAGGCCTCTTCCCGCACGGTGATGAGATGCTTCCGCTCCTCGATCGTCATCTGGCTCTCTCGGCTTTCCGAGACCCGCTGTTGGCAAAACGTATGAGAGCGAAAATCAGAGAGCAAGACAGGGAAAAGCCAAAGAGGTGTGAACTTTGGCCTGAAGCATTTCCTGAGCGGAAAAAGCAGGCGCAAAATGACTGAGGAAGTAAAGTTGCTGCTTCACCGTCTAGGTGACCTCGGGCTACTGAGGAGACTCCGCAGGAGCACGGCCAGTCTGGGCCGTTCTCAGGTGATCTGGCGAGGAGCAGCGGGCACAGCGGGAAAGCTGAGGGGCAGGAGGAGTCCCAGGGGCCCGAGGGCCGAAGATCGGCCTCCGTCCAGCAGGGTCGTCAGCGGGCAGTCAGGCACCTGTCACCCTGGAGGTCTAGGAGCCACCGCGGGGCTCACGCTGAGGCCGCACTGTGCCGCGACAGCACACGTACAGAACTTTCCTACTTAAAAGTGCTCCCCAAAGTTCCCAACTGGTCTGGAGAGAGCTGCCCCTGGGTTTCTAAGCTACCGGTGGTGCTTGACTGATCCGTGGTTGGGGACAAGCGGAGTTCAGGGGAGGGGTCCAGAGGGGCCACCAAGGGGGAGCAGACAGACGGAGGAGGATGAGCCAGGAGGCAGAGGCCCGGGCTGGAGCCCGTGGGCGAGCAGGAGGAGGGAGGGGAGAGGACGAGTGGGTGGCTGGGGGGTCCCCGGTGTCTTCGGGACAGGGCTCTGCGTCCTCCTTCGCGGTCTCTCCCTGCACCCCCCACCCTCCGCAGGGCGCAGGACAGGACAAGGAGCAGGGAGCGGTGTGGAGCCAATGCCTAGCAAGGGAAGGAGGAGCGAACAGGTGTCCCCCGAGAGCCCGGAGAGCCTGGCAGCCACCTGCAGCCACTCCGAGGACAGGAGGCAGGCCCTGTCCCTTCCGGGTGACCCCAGGGCCTCCTTAGACCCAAGCGACGCCTCTCGTGGCAGGGCATTCACTGCTGACTGTAACTGAGCTCTCCTCACTGTCTCCTGCCCCCTCCCAGCAAAGCGGAACACAGTGGCCCACAGCTGCTCCCTGGCAGTGGAGGACCAGGAGCGCACCCCCAACTCCCGCCCACTGTCCCTCGGTGGGAGATAATGTCTGGACTCAGGAGGGACAGGAAGAGGCCGCAGGCTGGCACGGCTCATTTTCTCCTCGGCTCAGATGATGGAGGCCACGGGAGAAAGCGGCCCCTGTCTGTCTCCTTCCCGGAGCATCACCAGGTGAGCACTCACAGAGGCGGGTTTCAGACACGCACACGTGCCCCCCAGTGTCTGAGCTACGAGCTTCCTTTTACAGGATTCTTTCACAGGCCAGAAGTGACAGTAGCCACAAGTGATTCTGAGATTTTAGAAACCTTTCCCTGAAGAAATAAGACAATGCAACACAAGATCCGCCTTAGATCCTAAATGTGGTAGGGCTAAAAAGGACCCAGTTGGGTGTAAATTGACACGATAAGAGCATGGATGTGGAATAAACACTGTATCACTTTTTTTCTTTTCGTACCAGGGATCGAACTCAGGTCCTTGCGCTTGCGGGGCAGGCGGCGGAACCACTGAGCTAAATCCCCGGCCCAAACACTGTATCACTATTACCTTCCTGATGTTGATCACTGTATTAGTGTACTGAGGTTATTACGGGGTGAAATATTTTTTACTTTAGAAAACACACACGGAGGTATTGAAAGGATCATGTCTCCAAACTACTTGTACATGGTTTAGGGTTAGATAAATTTACACACACACACACACACACGCACACGAGATGAGAGAGGTACGGGGCGAAGGGGTGAGATTAGGCAGGGGAGAGGAATGGGGAGCAGAAACTAATGCTCACAGCTGGTGAATCTGGAAAGCTTATAGGAGAGTGCCTTACCTAGTATAGAAAGTTTTAAATTCACCAAAATGAAAAGCTATCCAAAACTTTTAAAAACCCAAAAACTTTGTTCTAAACTTTCCTGCTCAGGATTGACAAGAAGGCTCTAATTCCAAGGAATACTCTGAATTACGCATCCATATGGAATAAACTGTAAGGCTGACTTGCCAGGAAGCCCTCATGACATTTAAGCAAGATGAAGTTTTCTATGAAAATACGGTTTCAGAAGTGAAGGTAAATCAAACCAATATAATACTTGGCTTAAAATACTGAAATAAAACATGTAAAGTGCCAAGAAATTTGGCTCTTCCCAAGGCCCAGTCATCATTAGTCCTGCGGTAAGTTCTAACACCCAGAAACAAGACACCTGAGGCAGCAACACCTCCCCAAGCCTGCGGATACCCCTGGACTCCTGCATGCACACAAGGGACATGACCCAGGGTGACATGACCGCCGCAGAATGTAAAGCTTCCATTCTTCTGAAAGATCTGGGTCAGGAAGAAATATTTTTTACTCCCCTCTTAAAGATAATATTAAACATGAAAGTTTCATTTGCTTAGAAGTTTCTCCTTAACTTGGCAACTTAGTGAGTAACTCCTTTCATCTAGCTTTACATGGCTCTACAAGGAGGTAAGGAATACATGGTTTGTATATTCATAGAACAATTTATCACAAGTGACTATTAAATTTTACAGCTCAAAATATGAGGATTAGGTGGATCTCTGTTCATTTCACTATTGTCTTATTTTTCTGAATTTTTCTTTCCTTGTATTTAGAGCGAAACATAACAGGTATAGTAGCAAGTACTGTACTAGGTCAATTCCCAGGGTTCACCCATAGATATTTACGATTATGTGGGGTAGTAAGAGAGAGCTGAGGCAGGATATCCCATCTGTAATTCATCCTGTCAAACATAGATCCTAATAACTGGTGGGAAGAGATGGAGAGTGTAGGGTGAGTGTGTGTCTGTGTGTGTGTGTGTGTGTGTGTGTGTGTGCACAGAAGGCAGAGAAACACCTGGGAAGAAAGAAATAGCCACTTAGTAATAGCCACACACTGAGACCATCCAAGGATCAACTACATAGTTGTTTTCCAGTCACCACATAATTGCTGCTAGGCTTGTTTATCTCTCCGCCTACTTAGAAATCACGGCAACTCTCATTCCATATTTTGTACACAGGCATGTGACCCAATGAGAGAGTGAGACTAACCTGAATTGTTAGGATTAAGGCAAGCCTAAGGGTAAAACTCTTCCACAGTTGTACAGCTTCAGAGAAAGGAAATGAGATTTGACTTTTAAGCTTTTTATCTTACATCCAGTTAAACTCAGCTATAGCAGAATGGTCCCAGAAATAAGCAACAGAAATAAGGCCAAGTGACAAAATTCTGGTCACTGTTAAAGAAATTTAGCTTTGCCTTCTCCTTGAGAGAGATTTCAGTCCACCATCACTGCACAAAGTCTCAAGTGGCCCAAACAAGATGGAGCAAACCTCACAGGCCCAGCTCAGGCCTCAGAGTAGCCACGGATCCATCGGTCTACCAGCTCTTAAAAGGGTGGCAAGAAAGCAAAGCCTCATTCAGTGCAGACTCGCTGCCTATGAGGAAGGACAGGATGAATACTGAAGCCCGACACAGAGACCTGCTAACCCTGTATTTTCTTCTCTCACTTAACATTAAGGCACTAAAACTGCTGGAGAAAAGCAAAGGAGTGACCTGGTCTTGGAGGATAGTACGGATCTATCACCACCTAACCAGCATAAAAAACCTTTCTGTTTATCTTGAAAAATTGCTAAGAAGTAAATGTATAGAATTTAAAAATTAACATTTTAAGTAATAAAACAGAAACTACTTTTGGTAAATGTTATTTTTCTTTAAACTTAAAAATACATGGAAAGACAGTCCATGTTTAGGGCTGGGGATTTAGCTCAGCAGCACCGCACCTGCCTTGCAAGTGCTAGGTCCTGAGTTTGACCCCTGGACAGCCCATGTTCATAAATAGGAAAACTCTGCTTTGTCAAGATGTCAGTTCTTCCCAACTTGATCTATAAATTCAATACAACCCCTATCAAAAGTCCAGTGCTATAGAGTTTATATGGAGAGGAAAAAGACTCAAAATAGCCAACAGGAAATTGAAGATGAACAATGTTGGACGGCTTACAGTACTGACCTTTAAGAATTATTATAGGACTATAGGAATTAAACCTGTGTAATATGTGGTGAAAGAACAGATGACTAGATCAATGGAACAGTATAAAAGACCGAGAAAGGAGAAAGTGCAGTTCGATAGAGAAAAGATAATCCTGGAATATCTGGACACCCAGCCCCACCCCAAATCTGCAGAATGATCTTATTAACTCAAAGTGGATCACAGACCTGAATGTAAAATGCAAAGCTAAAGCTATAAACCTCCTAGAAACTATTAAAAGTGTGAGTCTAGGTGACCTTGGGTTTACTGATCACTTTTTAGATGAAATATCAAAGGCATAGTCCATGAAATAAAACTGATAAGATGGATTTCCATGAAATTAAAAATTTTATCTCTGTGGAAGATACTGTCAAAGGAGTAAGACAAACCACAGGATGGGAGAAAAGATTTTTTAAAACATAGCTAATAAAGGACTATTATCCAAAAATATACCAAGGAATTTTAAAATTCAGCAATAAGAAAACAAAAAACCAGATTAGTAGGTAAAGGATCTGAACAGATATTTCCCCAATGAATACAGACACAAGCTAAGCATAAGCAAATACACTCACCATCATGTCGTCAGGGATTTACAAATTAAAACAATGAGATGCGGATATGCACTTATTAGAATGATGAAAATCCTCAACACTGACAAAACCAAAACCTAGCAAAGACATGGAGCAAGAACATTCAGTGCTGATGAGAATGCAAAATGATAGAGCCACTCTGGAAGAGAGTTCAGAGGTTTCTTAAAATACGAAGTATATTCGTACCACATGATACTACAATCACACCCTTTAATGTTCAAGATGAGTTGAAAATGTACATCTGAGCAAAGACCTGCAGATGGGTGTTTATAGTAGCTTTCTCCATAATTGCCAAAATATGGATGCAGCCAGAGTGCTCTTTGGTGGGTGAGGAGCCAAGTAAATGTTGGTAAACCCAAACAGCTGAACAACATCCAGAACTAAAAATAAATGAACTATCAGGGCATGAAAAGACAGAGGCATCCAAAATGCATATTTTGAAGTAAAAGAAGGCAGCCTGCAAAATTTACCCACTGTCATTCCAACTCTATGACATTCCAGAAGAGGCAACACCATGGTAAAAAGACGGCGGCTGACGAACATTAGAGTCAGAGAGAGACGAACAGCTGAAGCACAGACACCTGAAGGCAGTGGAACGATTCCGTATGATACTGCCACGGCAGACACGTCATTATATTTATCAAAACCAAGAGAATGTACACCAAAATAAACCCTCATGTAAATTATGGACTTTAGGTGATGTGCCACTAGGCTTATCAACTAACACATACGTCACTGTTGTGTGAGACATCGGTATAGAGAAGGCTGTGTGTAGAAAGGCCAGGGTGTACAGAAACCCTGTTCAATTTAGTTGTGAGCCTGAACCCAAAACTGCACTAAAGCTAGTTCTCTCTTTGTCTGTCTCTCTCTTTATGTATATATGATATATACAATTTATACGTATTCTATATATATACATACAAACATGTACTTCAAGACTTCAGAAATACAGCGTTCCTTTTAAAGTCTTAGTACTCATTCATTTATGAGAGATGAAAGTGCCAGTTTTCTCCAGATTTTAGCTCCTTTCTTGGGTGAACATGGGCTGGACAGCTGGGCTCTCACAGTGTGCATTTCTAACTCCAGGGAAAGGAGCCAGTGAGAACAAGGGCAAAGCAGCCACCTCATGGAGAAGTGGGGAGTTCCTGTCCGTGACGAGGCCCGGTGAAGACCCACCAGACCCCTCTCTCCTGTCAGCCTCACAGGCCACACCTGAGCAGCTTGCTCCTCCTCCATTGTTGGTCCTGAAGGAGCAGTGCCATCAGGCTGTTGCTAGTCGGGTGCGGCCCGAGAGGTACAAAGCCTCAGTTCTGATGTGGAGACTGAGGCCTGAGGGAAGCAGCTGAGGCTAGTCCCACAGGAGACTGAAGTGTCTCCCAGAGGCCCACGTGCGTACAACCTGGTCAGTGACCTGTGGTGTTACTGGGAGGCAGTGGAACCTTTGGGAGGCGGGGCCTAGTGGGAGGAAGCTGGGTCACTGGGGGCATGGCCTTGGGGGGCATAGGGATCCTGCCCCTTCCTTTCTGTTTCTGCTTCCTGCCGAACATGAGGTGAGGAAGTTTGCCTGCCATACACACTCACCACAATGTTCTGCCTCACCGTGGCCCAAAGTGATGGAGCCAGCTGACCACCGACTGTGCCCTCTGAACAGTGAGCCAAACTAAGCCCTGCCTCCTTAGGAGCTGATTTTCTCAGGTTCTTCTGCTCAGGGACAGAAATCCGACTAACATGGAGACAAGGACCATGGGAGTGATGAAAAGTGGATGTGGCTACTTTTCACACCTATTGTGACACCAGGAACATTTCAAGGGGAACAGAAAACAACTGTTACCATTTTTAGCTTTAAAAATGATCACATATCAATCGGCCCAGGCCAGGTTCGGGTGGGGTCCAGACGAGGTAGAGTGGGTAGCTGGGAGGGGCAGGGGTCTGAGGCTTCTCATTGATCAGTTGTCACCTGATCACACCAGATGGCCACTTCCTCACCTTGTCTTCCTTCCTGTCCCTTCCACACCCCAAACTCCTCTACCATGTCCATGTACTCTGTGAAGCCAAGCAAGACACACCCTCACTGAGCTGGGCAGTGAACACTCTGGAGCACTCGGTGGGCTCCTGACAGAATTTAAAGCTTGGAGACTGAAAGGGGACGCTTTCCCCTGAAACCAGTTCCATGGCTGTGAGGTGAATTCATACCATTGGGTCTCCCTAAAAGTCCAAGCCAAGGGTGTAGCGTTTGTTGACTGACCCCAAACATATGAACTGCTTAAACCCATACACACTATTCTAGACTCACAAACTCAGACACACAATCACACACACACATAATACAATACCACAGACACAGACTCTTACACACACACACACACACACAGAATGCAGAGTTACTTTCCCAAATGAAACCCAAAACTCCTTCCCTACTGCTCAGAAATTGCAATGAGGCTTAACATGTGTAGGCTTTTCCTCACCTGATTACCAGATACAAAAGACAGGCAAGTATGGGCAGTAGGTATAGCAGGAGAATAAGGAGAAGCATATACAGGTTCCTATAGAGCAAAGCAAGAGGATTAGAGGTAAAAAGAAGATTTATTAGAGTGGGGCAGGGCAGGCGAGGTTGGTGGGGGAGAGACAAAAACAATGACTTTTCTAACAGAAAGTTATTGCTCTCATTGCAATTTCAGTTTGCTTTTCAGGAGGGCCCGGCCTTGATGCTAACACTGTGAAAATCAGTCCACACAGTGCAGTATGTGCAGCTGCGTCATTTCTGCCCAGTAACTGAATGAGATAATGAGAAGATTACTGCAGTTTATGTAAGAGAGGTACAGAGAGGGAACCAAGGCTGCAACTGACGGTTTTAACATGAACATAAAACCTCACTGTCTTTAAGGTATTTTCATGACATGATTAAAAATAATTAAGGTCAGGGAATGCGTCGTGCAGATTGGATGGAGGCTGTATGCTGCCTGGGATATGAAAACCAGCCAGGAGGGCACCAAAGGAGTGCCTTCGATCAGAGTTAGGACCAGCGAGGAGAGAGCAGAGTTAGTTGTCAGGCAGGTACTTCTGGGGACAATCATCTTTGCTCGTTGGGGGAAAAGCAGGACAAGCTGTTGCCCCTTTAAATGGCCTTCAAAGTTTTATTTTTCTTCCAGAAAAAGCCCTTCAGAGAAATTTACAGGAAACAAGCCAAAATCGCTGACTCACTCTGACTTTCTTTTTGGGCAATTTAAATTTTCCCCACTATAGTAGTCAGTTCTCTGCCTGGGGCAGTCCTGTCTCCCAGATTCTTGAACAGGGGCTATGTGACCTCTGACTGAGCATGCCCGGCAGTGCCTGGCTCTACGCAGGGCGAGGAGTCTTTCCTACACCAACATGAACGAGTTTCCACCACCAAAGCCCCTTGCTTTTCTTGTTCTGGGAGGCCCCACTTTGAGGATTCTCTCCAGTGTCCACCTTGCTGTGAGTAATAAAGCTTTCTTCACCCTTTCTCTTCTGGGCTCTTGTGGCTTTGAACTCACCGGGGGACCCAGTTATAGAAGGGCACCTGTGAGTCCGGCTTACCCAGCGCAGATTAGATATGGCATTGTCCTCTGTGACTCCTCCTCCTTCCTACGGGTTAGAAAAAATGGAGACATGGCAGAGGTTGGAGAGGAGTCTGGTTAGGGACCCATCATTTCCAAGTGCTTGTGCCTGGCTCAGCCAGAAGCATGCAGTGCTCACAGTGCGGTGCTCACAATCCCACGGGGCAGGTGCCCCAAGGAAACTCATTCCCTGAGCTGGGACGATGACCTTCCCTCGGAGGCCATCACATCAGCCTTGTGCTCCCTCCCAGCCTCGCTCTGGGAGCTTCATTCCCCTCAATTAGGACTTGAGATTTCAGTGACAGAAGGGGATGAGAGACATTTGCCTTCCTCGAATTTGCAGGAGCTTGTGGGGAGATGTCATAGATCTTAGCTGCACTCACGGACAGCATCAGGACTGAAGCAGGCCAGGACATGCAGTCCCGGTCTGGGATTCAGAAACAAGCTGGGTGGGGGAACCCATTCCTATAATCCCAGCACTTTTGGAGGCTGAGGCAGGGGCGTTGTAAATTTGAGCCCAGCCTGGACAACTTTGTGACTTAGCGAGAACTTTTCTCAAAATATTCAGAACAATTAAAAGGGCTGAGGATGTGGCTCATTGCAAGGGCCCTGGGTTCAGTCCTCAGCACTGAGAATAAAACCAAAACAAGTGCAGGATTTTTAATGTCCCAGGAAATGTCAGACGCACTGGATCACCGGATGATTATCTTCTTCTTCTTCTTTTTAGCTACTAGGGATTGAATCCAGGACCTCACGGATCCTAGCAAGCATTCTACCACTGAGCTACAGCCCTGGGCCTTTTTATTTTGAGTCAGGTTCTTGCTAACCTGCCCAGGTTGGTCTCAAATTTGAGATCATCCTGCATCAGTCTCCTGAGTAGCTGAGATTACAGGCTTGCACTACCCTCCCCTGCTTAAGCACGGATCAACTTCCCCCTACAGTGCTGAGATAGGGCTGGGCCTCACGAGTGGTAGAGTCTACCACTGGCCTACACCCCGCCGCTGGATATCTGTCTTACGGGAGGCCATGAGGGTCCCCATGGACGCTGTAACGTCAAACAGGCTGAACTGGGTTAGAATTTAAAATGAATTTTTTTGGTGAAAACAAAACCTGCAATTTGGTTGTAACAAAGAGGCTCTGGCCAAACTTCTTCAAGATTTTGTCTCACTTCTTTTTTCCCTTTCTAATGGGATGAGTTAACACTGGAGAAAACGGCACACATATCATGCTTAAGAGCACGCATCACACATGGCGTGGACCAGGTCAAATCTACAAACCGCATGGCTTGGCTGCCTTCGGAACTAACTGGGTACACTACAGGAAGCAAACGCATTTAAGTGGGGTTAGCGCTGGCCGGACTAAACCTAGCAGAAAGGCAAGAAGGGTGGCAGCTGAGGGAGGAAAAGAAAGGACCTGAATGAGGTAGGATCATCAATCTGACAGCTGGAAGGAGGGAACTGGAAAGCAAGGAACTGCTTCCGAGTTCCATACTCCCTGAGACCTAACTGAAAGACCCCAAAGGAAAACTCTCAGGTCTCAAAAAACTATTTATGGTCTGAAACAAGGCCATTCTACCAAATAGGACTCCAAGGGAGATGCACCTCGAGGCCTTTCCCTATGGGACAACCCTTTTGACAGAAACAGAACAGCCTCAGATTCTCAGTCCTTCCCTATTCTTTTTCTAAATGTGGCTCTCGGAACATTTAAGATGCCTGGGAGGCTCCTATTACACTTTTACTGGCCAGGGCGGACCCACATGCTTTGAGGGTTTCTCAGGGGCCATGGCACTGACTTCCAGGCCACAGCCCGGCCCACCTCTCCTGTGTTCCCACAGCTACAACTCAGGCCAGGGCCCCCTGCACACCGAGCAGGAGGACGGGCTGTAGAACGTGCAGAAACCGTGGATATCTGCTGTTTGGTGAATTCACAGATTTGGAAGTGAGGACCTGACCAGGAATCCAGCTCCTTTCTACCCCTGTAATGGGAAGAATGGAAGGTTCCAGTCCTGCCCTCTGAGCAGCTCTGCCCGGGCAAGTTTAGAAGGACCCAGGAACAAGCCCCAGCCTCCTGCACACATCCAGTGTCATTCCTTCTCCAGGGCAGCGATCCCACAGGGCCATTCTTCATGTCGGACACCTGGTCTACCACATCTGAGCACAGCGCAGGGGTCTTTGAAATACACTGCCAGCCCCTGGGAAGTAGCGGACCCAGGGGCTGTCACTGGCCAGCTGAAAACCACGAGACATCAACTGAACTTGAGGTTTCCCAAGGTCAGTAGTGAAGATCCCAGCCTAGGTTGGCTTATTATAACTTCAAGGAGCTTACTGTCCCATGCCAAAGTGGGCCAAGCCATGGAGGAGGGCAGGGATAATGAGTTCACGTGGCTGCAGCTTCAGTAGCACCTAGGAGTCCCGTGACAGCAGTGCACACTCAAGCCCCAGTCACTATCACTGGGTTCCTACCCCAAGGACAACTGCAGGGGACTTGACACCTCCAGGCCTCTCCAAACCTTTGCCATGTGGGCAGCGGTTCAGACTCATCCCTGCCCATGGCCTCTGAAGTTTGGAGACCTCTCGGTCTCTCAAGTGGGCAGCACCATGCGTGGGGAATCTGTCTTGTTTTGTGCCTTGTAGCGTCATTTTAATTTTCACCTGGCTATGGGAGACCTTCAGCTCCTGAAGGCCTGGAAACCAGTAAGATACTGGCCACTGCTCCGTGCCATCACAGGTTCGTTGACAGCTTTGCTCATGAAGTCTGTGTTAAAGTTGTTTCAAGATTTTCTTTTTGCAGTGCTGGGGATCGAACCCTGGGCCGTATGCATGCTAGGTCAGGGTTCTACCACTGAGTGCCATCTCTAGCTCCAAGATTCACTGAAATAAAAGATGTGGGCTGGGGATACATTACTGTATTGGATGGACCTAGCTTTCTTTCACCTTGAGACCTATGTATCAGATGTACACATTTTAATGTTCTAGTTATAGCTGAGAGCTTTATCAATGGCTGAGATTAAATGTCTTTAGTTATTATTATCTTGAACACTAGAACAGAGAATTCAAATTGCTGTTGTGTCGTCCCCTATGTTGACATAGAAGTACCACCCTAAATAAGCCAGCACTCCTGACCCACAGTATGTGGACTCTCATTTTAGGTAAGTTCCTTACTGTGCAAAAGTCACACTCATCATTTCTCTCTTTCACAGATCCTTGTTTTATTTCAGTTTTGAGATGGGGCCTTCCGCTGTTGCCCTGGCTGGTTCTGAATCCTAGGCTCAGGTGACCCTCCTACCTTAGCCTCCCGCGTAGCTGGGACTGCAAGTGTGGATCATCACAGATCCTTTATTTTAGAACTACAAGAGGTCCAAGTGACCAACCAGTTGCTTATACGCTGTCCCTTTGCCTCCAGCCTTGAAGTGCGTTTGGAGTTGGAGGGCCAGCCAGCATGGATGTCATACCGGTTTTGAAAGTGTGCAAAGCTGATCAAAGGCTGGTCGTCATTACATTTGTAATTTCACAACTCATCAGTGCCCTTGCACTCAAAATGCTTGTGAGCACTGAGCACCATGTCTAACATGATTTTATTTAAACTTGTAACATATGTTGCTGTACATCCATAAAAGGCATGCTCCTCATCACCGAGCAGCCTGCGCAGGAAGAAAGCACTCACAGACCACACTGATGTCCTTGTGCTTTATGCTTAAGTCTCAAATCTCTGCAGAGGAAATTCAAGTCCATTTATTAAATATAACTTACGCTTGTTAGTAGGGAATTAAAGTTTTTCATTTGATCCACATTCTAAAGCCAGACTTCACTTAAGAAAGTTTTTGACTGTGTGCACAATTTAAAACTTTTAAGCCCCTCCTCACTGAGGCCTTATGCCTGATGCTGTGATCAATTCCGTAATATCCTAAGACTTGACCTTTTGACTGATTTAAGCAACTTTGAGACAGAGGAGGTGTTCAGCCTCAAGGCAAGAAAACACAAATGCTCCAAGACAGGGATTAGTGAGCCATACGCCAGTCTCCAGGGCACACGTTCAAATGTGAGGTTAGTTAGAATACTTTTTCCTAACACAGAAAGAAAGCATTACCTTCTTTTTAAGTGATTGCTCCACTTCTTGGATATGCAGGCTGCTAGTGCCAGATGCTTTGCTGTAGTCCTGCTTTCGGTTAAGTCTGTTCTTCCAGTCTTCCTCACCGCTCTTCTTCAACAGTGCTAGTCTAGAAGGAAAACATGCCAGTCAAAGAGAAGTCAGCACTGCACTCTTCCAACCTAGAAACGTCGCTTTCTAAGAGGATCCTGAAGGTCTCTGCAGGGGAGTGAAAATCGAAGTTGAACTCTGAATGCCAGGAAAAGATGCACCACCCCTCCAGTAAAGAAATAGCTCCAGGGCGAAAAAACCTAGAAATTGGCCCGGGGATTTAGCTCGGTGGTGCCACTGCCTGCCTCGCAAGCACAAGGACCCAAGTTCAATCCCTGGTACCAAAAAAAAAAATGGCTCTGCTTTTCCCTCAGGGCAAGAGATGAAAGTTGCCAATACCAGTGAAAAGTGTCTCCTAGTGACCCCTTCTGATCATTTCTTGGAATGACCTTAGATTATGAAAGTGTCGTTCTTTGTAGAAAATATCACACCAATGGGTTTCAAAACATAAACATATAAAGCAATGAAAAGACACTCATATACATTTCAATTAAAGAAAATTATAATGTTTATAATGTTTCTCCTCCTATGCTAAGCCTTGTTCTTTTCTTCCAAATGAACTTGGTCCTTCCAATGCATCTTAATACAAAAATGATTTTCTACAAACCCATTTAAAAAAATTATCACTTCAGTTCTCCCCAAGGGAAAGAATCTAATTAACTAAGATTTGTATCTAACCTACTTTAGTTCAACCCTGGTGTGACTTGATCTAAAGCTGCCTAGACACTGCTATCTTGAGAAGTTATTTTCACTAACATGATGCTGTTTTAGCTAACTGTGTTACAATGAACGAATAAGTCCTGGGCATTTAAGGTGGACAAACAGGGCAGAGACAAAAGGCAAAAAAGCAGTGGAGCTACTTTTACTGGAGCCGATGTTCAAACCATCTCAATAACTAGGAAATTATCTCCACTCAGGTCCCCTGGCTCTGTCTTCCCGATTTGTCCTGTCGGGCACTGGACTGCCAGGTCTCCAGAGGCCCTTCTGCTAATTTCCTGATTGCATTAAATATTTGAATGGAAATAGGATGGCACATACTCTGTGACAAAAGCTTGTTAACAAATAAGAAAACAAATTTTGTGTTACTTAAATGTGAACTCAGGCTGGGGATGCAGTTCAGGGGTAGAGTGTGGACTGGACATTCCTGAGGCCTTAGGTTCGATCCCTGGTGTGCACTGGTCACATAACAGAAGTGAGACATGAAGAAAAGAACTCCCCAAAGGAGCAGGAGTGGGGACCCTCAGTTCTACCCCCCTTCTTCAGTCTCCTCCTCCTCTTCCCTTCTCATCTTTCTTTCTGCTGTGTGTAGCAGGCAGGAGCCCACATGCCCGTTCTACAAAATGGAGGATGCTGCCTTATCTGTGTAAGGCAGAGCCCACATCGAGGCTCTGTGGAGTTTTAAATGTCACAAATTTAATGTTTGGAACACTCTCTGTGCCCCATGGACTGGTTCATGTATTTGGAACACAATATCTGAAGTCCTTTAAGTATTTTAATCTGCATTGTGTACTGGAAAATGCCTAATATTTGTCTCTTTTCCAATTATTTTGAATGAGTTAGTTTTGCTCTAATAAGAAAAAAGAATCTGACACAATCAAATCATTAAAAGAAGTAATTAGCACTTGCCTTCTGCATTAGCTTTCAAAGGTCTCAAAGCATCATTAAGTGAGACTTTCAAGAGGGGGCATGCCCTCACGTTCACACCCCGGTGGAGAGGCCTCCACCCCGCGGTCTGTGCAGGAAGCTTTCATGCGCTGATGGTCTCCTCACTAACCGGCCTCAGAACCAGCGTCTGTCCCTTTCTTTACCTTTGACTCACACAAGTAGTTATTCATCTTGACCTTCCACCTCATTAATCAGATTGGATCCCAAACGATTTAAGGGAATTGAAAAAAATCAAGTTCATCCTGTGAGATGAGTTTATTAAAAAGAATGAGCTGCAGTCTGGAGGAATGAAGCTCCCAGATGTTGGAAGCAATGATGATACCACTTGAATAGTCCTGCGTCCTCTCCAGTGGCTGCTCTGAAGCATCCATAACTGATTCATTAAAAGAAAAGATGGAGTCTGGAATCACGTTGTTGTGCATCTTCCACTCTGGATCAGCACAGTAACGTCTGAGAAACGACCCTGCTTCTCCGCTCTGACAGGTGGTGCTTACCCACAGACAGCTCTTGCTGTCAGAGCTGAGCAAGGCCCTGCTGTCTCCCTCCACTGCTCTGTCAGCCACAGACACATCTGTGCCTTGGTCTTTCCGTCTTCACACAGTACTCTGGCTCTCTCCTAATGTTCTCCCCGCTCCCTCCCTGGATGGCCTTCAAAGAATTCCTCCTTCCCAAAACCCTGACATTTTGCTTCTAGAAGTACTGGCAGGGTCATCGTTAGGGACTTCCAAAGTCTACAGAGTAACCAGAATAATATGGGAGGAACTGTGCTTCAACCGAGCCCACGTGGCATTGGACCCAGCCCTGGCCTGCAGAGGACAAATGATGACTAACTTCAAAACAGCATGCACTGCAGCCTAGGTGTGCTACTCCAGCCCCTTTAGATTTCCTGCTCGGTGTTTCATAAGCTAAGGGGGATGGGAAGTCTTTCCCAAAGTGTCCTCTCCTCTTGCGATCTCACAGCCCTGCTCTACCACAGACGGCTGTCCACGGGAGAGGGCTACGTGCCTGGGCCTCTGTGCAACATGCACTCCTGCCTGTGCAATTCAAACACCTGCCAGCGCCCAAAGCTCTGCCAAGGCAAGTGCTGTGTGCATGGCTGGGATGTGGTGAGCAGGGCATGTGCTTCGTCCGAGCTGGGGACCCAGTGAGTGCACCGATTAGCCTGTTAACCCCAGGCCCGGCCTGCGGCCTGTGGGCGTGTTTGCCAGGTTGCCAGGGAAATGTGTACGCCTCGCCACAGCCCACACTTTTCCACCAGGGAATTCTGGCCTGAGAGCCCTGGTTGGAATGAGTCTTTCAAGCTCAGAGCAGTCAGGCCTGGGTCAAATATGGGACAGGCAAACACGTGTCCCTAATATCAAATGAGGTGTTTTTCTCTCTCTCTTTAGAAATGTTCCCTCATTTTTGAGAAATGTAGGCAACCCCACAGACTTGATAGAGCTGAGCAGCCCGGACAAATGCTTGGATCTTGGTCTTGGCCGGGGTGCAGGCTGGAGGAGGAGATCACAGGCCCTTTCCATGTTCCGGGGACCTGAAAACCGGGCCCTCACAATGCTGAGCCTGGCCCCACCACTGAGCTCAGCCCCCCTGTCTTTCCCATGGAGACTGCTCTGGTTCGCACACAGGGCGTCTTGAGACAGGAATGCGGATCGGACTGCCCTCTGGGATGGCAGCCGTGGGCAGGGCTCTCGGGAGGTGCGCAGACCCTAGCAGGGCCAATGGCTGTCCCTGGGCATGAGGTCCTGCTCTCTCCGGACTGGACTGGTTATCCCAGGAGCGAAGCCCCCTTCAGGTTTTTCAGTGTCCACAAATGCCTGTGGCTCTTCCGACTTCCACTGTGCTGTGAAGCAGCCCAAGGCCTAGGTGGCCGCTGGATCCTGGAGTCCTACCCTCTAGGCTTGAGAGTCAAAATAAACTTCTTCCCCTTCTAATTAGCCAGACTCAAGTATTCTGTTACAGCAATAGAAAGCACGAAGACAAGGACACATCAGAGACGAGAGAGGGAGGGGCAAGGGGAACAGCCTTGGGTCCTACTCCTTTCTCGGGAGCCTGGGGGGCTGCAGTGGCTGCGCTCTCCTGGCTCCGATGTCAGAACCTGGGTGTGCTGGGGAGTCAGGGACGTGGCCTCTGGCTGGTTGGGGTGCAGAGGGTGAAGGAGGCTCATGGCCGGACATAGGGGGCCCGAGTGGCCCTGGTAGGCTGGTGGGAGGTGTGGGGCAGACCCGTCACCATCGTGGGGAGCTCCGCTAGGCCTTCCTCGCCTCCCAGGTCCCTGAGAGAAAGGGGGGTCTTTCTCCCCTTCTCCGTCAGCTTCTCCCCAGCACAAAAGCAGATGCTTCAGCAAACAGACATCAGCTTTCTAAGGGCCCGGTGTCCTTTGATGCGGCACTGAAGGTTTTGTCCCTAAATAACAGAAGAGTTATGTCATTAACAGTGCATTTCAAAGAAGTTCCCAAACAGGGCCAATTTGGATCAAATCATTTAGACAGTTATAAAATAGTGGTTGTCATCGATCCTGTGGTCAAAGGAAATTGCACCCTGTGTTTTGTGCTAGTTGGGGTTCAAATTTGTTATTTAAGATGCCAGGAAATATGAAAGGAACTTTTAGACGTGTTTTTATGAGCATCAAACATATGTTCTAAAAGAGACTTGCATGGAGGACTCCCATCATTTCGTAGTTCTCACACTTTTTATCTACAAATGAGGAGGTGACACTGCTGCAGGAGCACTAGATGAGACACTGCCTGCCAAACGCTCAGGGCCATACAGGAGCAAAGGACACTTGGTGGAAGTCGGTGTAGAAAACTTGACAGTCACATTCCCGACAGGAGAAGGCAGAGACCATGAGGTTCAGGAAGACGGAACCACATGCCTTAGGGTACAGCTATTTAGACGACATGACAAAGGAAATCTGTGAATCCCACACTCCATTTCTTAGGATCTCAATTTTAAAGTGAAAACGTACTTGGAAGAAGCTAAGTGAAGAGTATGGGAATCGACCTGGGTGTGGTGACAAGCAGCTGTATTTCCAGTTACTTGGGGAGGCTGAAGCAGGAGGATTGCACGAGCCCTGATTCTACACAGCAAGAAGAATACATGAATTGAGAAAGTTAATACGGAAGAAAGGTGAAAACCTTCTAATACTGATATCTAGCTAGAATTTTGTCCCCTTATCATGTTGTCTGAACAGCGTTAGCTGCTAAAACACCAATATGAATGTGGTACGCAGTAGCCATGTGCATGGGGCAGATGGGGACCAGTTCTATTCACCGCAGGTCCTGGAGGCTGCTGGATCTAAGTCCTTCTTCAGGTAAAGGAAGCAGCACGAGGTTGAAATGTCCTCTAATTTTATGTTACCCCAGGAAACAAAGGCAAAGCCCAAATAAATGTATGAACAATATTTTAAATAAGCCAAACTTCATTCTTCCAAATTCACGATGAGAAGCGATTAGAGCCTCGCTTAGGTAAAAGCTGTTGTGGATGGACTGTAAAGTTATGTAGTTTTGTCATTTTCAACAAGGTACAAACAAAAGTATTATTAAAGAAAGGGAGAAAGATCTCTGGCGATATAGTTGTGTTAGCATAACTTGTGTATAACATATATTAATTATGTTATATAAACTATAACAATGTACAACTGCTAAGTAAAGTGCTCTGCATCCTTTTTCAAAGGGAGATTTTAACAATTAGGGCTGGAGGTGTGGTTCATTGGTAGAGTGCTCACCTGCATGCCCACCACCCTGGGTCCCATTCCCAGCACCACCACAGAGAAAGATAGAGGGAGGGACAGAGGGATGGAGGAAGAAAAGGAAAGAAAGAAAGGGGAGGTAGGCAGGCAAGCAAAGTAAGCTCAGCAGCTGACTATTTAGCAAGCATCCCTAATGTTGGAGATTCGGAACAGACTGGGTCAGGGCACTCTGAGACAGTGATTATTTAGGGCCCCACCGACCACCAGGAATCTGCTGCACACACTCAACTCAACTTCAGATGCACTTCTGGGCAGCTCAAGGAAGCCTTACACTCATCCGTGAGCTTCTCAGATGTCCACCTAACCAAGGTTAAGAAGTTGTAAAGTTTCAAAAATGAGAATTTTATAGTAGAGTTAAAATTGCTTTGGGAAAGATAAAAGTCAACTAAAGTTTATTAAGATGGACAAGCACACAGAGAAGTATGGCTCAGAGGGCAGACGGAGCCTTGTCGTGTAACGTTCAAAGTCCCAGTGGAAAGGACAGATCCAAAGATGGTCCCTGTAAAGGCCTTTGAAAGAAGGCAGTAGAATAGTAGTATTTCCCACTGGAATTTTATCCCAATAATGTCTGCAAATAAATAAAACATCAGAACTATGTAAATGATGTTTACCTTTTATCAATACTTAGGTCCTAGGGATCAAAATACGAGCCAGGTTTTCGTTCAGGAGGACTTTCGATAGGCCAGACTGCTTCCCTGAGTCCGGACACCTCTCTCTCCCTCTTTCTTTCTCTGTGACCATCTTGTCCTGGTAGGTCTCATTTATTGTGCATTTTAAATAATTAATGGTGGAAGTAAATAAGATTCAACTCTCTTATTAATTTGTTATTTAAAAAATGCTCTGTTCTGTCTAATATTTTATGACTAATGTTACCGAAGCGTGGCTTGAAAAACGGAATTTTCACTGTGGTTTGACATAGAGTCTTAGGTAGTTTAAAAGAGTCCTAAAAAAGCAAGAGGGACCTGTGCCCGGCACAGCAGGAGAACCCACACGTGGAGGAGGTGCCAGGGAAGGTCCAGGATGGCACCAGCATGGGAACACGTGGTGGGAACAGCTCTCCTAGTGACAGCTGGGTGCCAGCTCTTCATGAGCTCCTAGCACGACTGCATCTTCTGCAGCTCAAATCAACTGTGGCTAAAGGCTAATGAGAGCACTATATCCTCAAAATAATTTAGTTCCCATCACCCGCATCCCTCCATTGAAATCTGTTCTTTCCAACCTACATTATGCTTTGAATGAAGTGAGGGCTCAGTGCTGATACTTATGTGGAACCATTCACAGCTGTCGTTTGGTAGAAAACTCCCAGGGCTGGGTGCCGCTCCATGGTACAGGGCCTGCCTGGCATGCCCAAGGCCCTGGGTTTAGTCCCTAGTGTTGCAAACAAGTATGATTCAGAAAAGCCTTTAGCTCACTTCCACTAAAGTAAACAAAACACAGAATCTAACCCCAAAGCTACAGATTCTATATATGAATTAATCTTCATTCCCTATGTACTTATTTTATGCCATCACAGAATGGTTCACGAGTTTGCCCAGATTGCATCTCCTATAAGTAGATAATCAAAGAATTTGATATCAAAAGAAAAGAGGTGTACAAATAAGCGAAGCAAGCAAAAATCTGCTTCTGTTTGTTTCTTCATCAGAACTGGCTCTCCTTAGCCCTGTGAGTCGGTGGCTGAGGTGCAGGCAGTTCACTCTCAAAGTCTCCCCAGTTGTTCTGCCATCGCAGCACACCTGCGCCTGGAGTCAGACCTGTGCTTTCACATCTGGCCCCTACTCGGATCTTTCTCGAAGGCCGAGTTGCAAGCTCCTCCCCAGGAGAATCACCCCCCTCAGGAGTGTGCAGGAGTGTGCATTACCTCTCTTTAATCGACATGGTTTTGCCGGGTGAGTCAAGGACTCCCTCTCCCGTGGGCACTTTGATTTCTCCGGCAGCAAACATGGCGCACGGGCTCTTGCAGTGCTTCTCTGCCAGCTGTTCGGAGGAATCCTGCTGCTTCCAGGAAGCTGAGGTTGCCGCTGGAGTCCCAGGCTTCCCAGTGGCGGCTGCACCAGTCTGCTCAGAAGTGGGCTCCCCGAACTCTGCTGCTGGAAAGGGAGGCACGAGCTCAGCATTCCTCCTCCAGCAGCCCACCTGGATGGTGCAGCTCTGGGCCCCATCTGGGGGCGCAGTAGCAGACTCCTCTGTATCACTCCTTTGTGCCCACCAGTGTGTCTCCTGTGTGCAGGGCACAGGACACCAGCGATCACTACACACCAGGGGACTTTCTACCTCTCCAAAACAATACTTTATGTTTCAAGTGGGCTACACGCACAAGCCCAAACCCCCACCCAACTTACACAGTACCACTGCATCAAATGGAGAGGAGATTAAAGCCCCATGCAGCCGGGCTCACTACTCTGCAAGACAGGAGTAAGAGAGAGTGCCCAGGCCCATCACCCCAGTTACTTGGGAGGCTGAGACAGGAGGATCACAAGTTAGAGGTGAGCCTGGGTAATTTAGCAACAGCCTGTCTCAAAATAAAACAAACAAAAGGGCTGGGGATGGAGCTCAGTGCCTCCTAGGTTCAATTCCCAGTAACCTCCCCACCAAGAAAAAAGCAGCCTAGAAATGGGAGACTGCCCAAGTCCTCGCTCCCTGTGTGCACCCCGCCGCACCTTCTCAGCCACCAACTAGCAAAAGTGCCCTGAGAGCTGTCATAGAGCTGATGTCACCGGCAACCAAAGCTGTTCTCCAAGCATGTAAAAGGGGAGCAGTCATTTTCACTGCGTCTGCTGTACACCTCAGATTCCAGGGAAGAGCGCTCCCCCGGAGGAGAACAGTTTTCCCACTGCACCCCAGACCTGCTAGCCTGGGCTGCCTTGTTCACCCGGTGAAAAGGAATCAGAATTGCTGGCAACAAATCCAGGGGGGTGAAACTCCCGATTGTTTTCTGAAACTTTACCTCTGAGCGAAAACCTCCTTTTGGGTGCATTGTCCACGTCCCCCTTGTCTTCGGAGGGCGGGCTGTCCTCGGCGCCCAGGCTTCCTTGCGGGCTGCTCTGCCCAGTGGGAGGCTCCTTCGGGCCGTCCCCAAGGTGGGCGGCGGGGCGGGCAGCGGGCTCCAGGCTTCCCTTCCGCCAAGCTGAGGGCGGCTCTGCTTCCTCTGAGGCCCTGAGGGCCTTAACGCCTCTGTCCCCGGCTGGCACAGCGGCCTTGCCTTCCGTCTCTGCACACGCTCCGGACACCCCTCGGCTCCCACTGCCCTCCGCCAAAGGCTGCCAGGCCTGTGACTTCAGAATACCACCGACTGGAGAGCCTGCATTTTCCACCGCAGGGGGAAGCTTAGAGTCGGTGGCATTTGCACGGTCATCGGCGGGCGGCTTTGTCCGGAGCTCCCCTGCGTACATGGGGGCGACCGTGGGGGCCGCGGCGGAGGACACGGAGGAGATCACGGTGGGCGAGAAGGGGATGAGCTTCCCGCTCTGCACCTAGGAGGACACAGATCAAAGTAAGCACCGGCCGGAAGTTCTGTGCGTCCTGGGTTTCAGACTGGCAGGCTGCAGTACCGCGCTGGGTGCAGTTATCTTCCTAGAAAACCATCCTGGAGGGGTTTCAGAGTACACCTCAAATGAAACCTTCTGGCTGAAAAGTAAGTTGTACTCCTTACTTTTTCTATTCAGAATGGCCTCGTTCAGGATGATTTTGCAAGGAAGTTATGGAAACAAGAGAAGAGAAACACCCTTAGCGGAATTATCTTCCTTGGGATGAAATGATTCCCCAGTTACCCCTCGAGATCCCTTTACTTACAACATTAGCCCAAGAGCAGTGCGTGCCACACACACGAGCCAGAGAGGACACCGGGACCCACCTGCTGCACCTCGCCAAGCGTGACCGGCTGGGTCTGGTAGCGGGCATTTGTTCTCCTCTGTCTCATGTCGATTCGGTTTCGGGTGGAAATAGCTTTGGAGACAGGCTGAGACAACTTGTTAAACAAGGCCAACTTCTCTGCTAAGCTCAGAGTAGAGGAGTCAGGTTCTCCTGGTTCAGCGGAATCTTTGCCCTCATTTGCCTGGTCCCTGGCTAGAGCTTTTTGGTGAGCAGATGCCTGCAATCTGAAAGGAAAGGAATGAAGAGTCAGTGACACAGATAGCAACAAAACCCACTGTGAATTTTTCCCATTAACTTTCTTCCAAGTGTCACTTAAATATGCAATGGGCTTATTTTTCCCTATGAAAATTAGGACGAGGCAGGCAATTGCTTAGCTATTAAACAAGACACTGAAGAGCAGAGACGGTTTGGGACACTATCGTTATCAGTTTTAGAGCAAGCAGATTCTTAGCTCCGAATTACTTCTAAAAAGCAAATTTCCTATTTAAGCAAACAAAGTTGGCTTGGACCTATTTTACCTTAAGAGATGCCATATTATCGGTGTCATAATAAGGCTAAAGGGGAGTGTAAGGCGTTACTAGGGCACAGTTAAAGTTCTCTAAAGATGTGTTTCAGGAGTAAATAACTTAAAAATATAGTCATCTGTGAACAGCATAATCTGAAATACGGGCTTTGAGTCGTAGTTCCCAAATACAAATGTTATAATTCTAAAAATTCTTTCAGTATAGCATTTTTCCCTATTAGGTTCCTAGCAGTCTTTTAAAAGGTACTTAAATTGAATTTCCAATAACTTGCAAAGTGAATAAAATTTCAGGTGATTATAAATCCTTCCAACTAAGGCTGGGGGTGTAGCTCAGTGGTAGAGCTCTGATTTAGCAGGTGTGAGGCCCTGCTAGGCTCCTAGGACTGCAAACAATAACAATAATAATAACAACAATAATGGTAATGATAATAAATTCCTCTAATTTCCAGCTGGAAGAGAAGGAAGGCTTCCAGTTTATGTAGTCACTGTGAATCGTCAAAGGTTTCTGAGATAATATTCCTTCTGCCTCTGACAAATCTCATTTCAAACCTAGTAGAAAGTACATTCTGCCTTCACCCCACTTAATTGAAGAGTCACGGGCTGCCTCAGAGCAGGGAGAGTCCAGGCATTGGTGAGGGCTGTGGGAGGGCCATCAAGGGTCCAGTCTTTCTAGAGCCCAGTGCCTCACCCTGGGAGGACAACCACCAGCCTCCCCGGCAGATTCCTGCTTCTAAGTTAGGCACTGTCATTTTAATTCTTTGACTCTTACTTTTAGCCTTTGTGTTTGGACATGTAACAGCAAAGCAAAGGGGATGTTTACATGGTTTGAGGACAGAATTTTAAAATAACCACAATTTAAAATGTAACAGCAAAGCATCTGTCTCTGATCAGACACTACAAATTGTTTTCTCAATCCTAAAATATAATGGCACTCTCTCTCTATAAATGAGAAACAGGGAGGATTTTTTAAAAAAACATGTATTAGTGTCTAATGTGTTAAAAAATACCTGAGTCTTATCGGAATTTCAATTACAAATTAATGCTCATTTTTCTAGTCATCTGTAAGTGCTAGTATTTTAGATGAAAAAAATGAAAAATTCTTTAGGAATGACTATGATTATGAAAGACAGAAACAGAACAAACGGATAAGTGAGTTAGTGCGTCCTGGTACCAACACAGGTCGTAACAGATGGGCTGGATGTTTCCTCATGCAGACCTACACCACGTGCTCAGTACCTTGCGCTATGACAAAACAAAATGCCACACGTCTCAGGGACAGCTCACTACACTCCCGGGGACTTGGAGATCACACACATGAAAGGCATTCAAGGCTTTCAGAGCACTGCTGCCCAGCACCTTGCACTGGGGGCTACATGCAGCTGTTTCTGTCCAGTACCTGGCAGGCTGCACACAGCTCCTAGCTACAGTGGGCCTAGGAAGTCTCACCATTCCAGGGTGGGCGGCCCCAGAACACGAAGCAGGGATAGGTTCACTTTAAAAGCAATTGCCAAAGAAGGAACATCCATAAGGAGAGAGAAGAAAAGAAGCATTAAGGACAGCATAGATTTAAATTCACCAATTTTTTTTTTTTTGGGTACTAGGGATTGAACTTGGGTCCTTCCACTTGCGGGGCAGGTGGTGGAACCACTGAGCTAAATCCCCAGCCCTAAATTCACCAATGTTAAATTAAATCTTTTACCAAAATTCTTTGCTAAGGATGTTGGGGCAAAACAAAAATCACAAAATAACTTGAAGAGCAACTTAAGAAATAAGAGACAGAGTATATTCACTGAGCCTCAAAGGTGATAATTGTCCTGTGTTTATTGTTTTGCTTCCATAGGTATCTGTTTCTTCTACCAGCCACTCAAAAAAAATTTTTTTAAAACAAATCAATTTGCTGAGAGTTCCTAGTCATAAGTTACAAGAATGTACTCATCTATAAAAACAAAAAAATTGAGGCTGGGGATGTACCTCTGTGATACAGCACTTGCCTGACATGTACAAGGCTTGGGTTCCATCCCCAGCACTGGAAAAAGAACAGCACCAGCAAAGAGAAGCTGAGGGATAATTGTCGAGAAAGCAAAGGAGAATGACCTAACTCAGGTTCAGAGGGCGGACCTCATCAGAGAGGCCTGTCAGGTGCCAATGGCCACAAAAACACTTTAAAAAAACGAATACAAATTTTCACTTGATGAAAGCCATTATCTTAGAATGAATTTCCGTACTCTGGGAAAATTATTCTGAGCATACTGGAGTATTTTGCTACAATTGCTGTCCTATGGTTTGGAAATTCATCAAACTGCAATTCATTTTTAAATGGTTTTTTGTAATTATTTAAAAACAAAACAAACGTTTTTCCTTTAGAGATATGTTCTGCAGTATTTACAGGTGGAAAAATGCCTGGGATTTGCGAATAATGCGAGCGGAAAGTGGAAGTAGATGAGGTGCTGGGAGAGAGGCCGGCCAGGCGCTGGGAACTGCTGAAGCTGGGGGTTCATTCTCTTCCATCTGTTTTTGTATTGTATGTTTTTCACCATAAACACAGAAACATCCAAAGGGCACGGGCAACAGCAAATACAATTCTTTGACATTTTCCCAGCAGTTACAATAGGTAACATCCCAAGTCAAAGCCTAGCGAGGCTGCAGGGAAGAAAATCCTGCAATCCCAGCCTCTCCGTGGCTCCCAGCTAAACCCTCTTTCTGAAGCGAGAGGGGGCTTCGGGCCCTCAGGGACTCACGTGGCTGCGATGACCACCTCCTGCTCCGTGACGGGCTGCGTGTGGGAGCGGTCCTGCAGGCGCCGCAGCCTCTGCTCCACGGCTGCGTTTCTCGAGCGTCTCTTTGGGGCATTCTGCTCATCGAACGACTTCTCCATCTCCTAAGGGTAGAGATACTGTGGAGTGCTCGCAACGTCAAGGGGGCAAGTCGAGGCAGGGAAATGGCTCTGTCCTACAGGGCCCCTCGGAGGGGCGCAGGTGAGACCGAGTCCTGGTCAGCAGGGAACGCGCAGGCTGGGGGCGCCAGGGCATCTGCTGCCGCTCCCTTGGGGGCGTCCCCCCCAAGACCCTCGGGGGAAGCCTCCAGCCCCAGCTTGCTTATCCAGAGAGTGTGGAACCCTAAGGTGACTCTCTCTGGTGTTTTGTTCCAGCAGTGGAAGGCTGACTCGCGCAACATGATAAGAGAACAGCGGGTGGGCCAGGTGAGGAGGGTCTCAGAGGTCCCCGAGGGCTATCAAGTGGCCAGAGCCCCAGAAGCCCGCGTTCATAGGGGCTGCGATTTCCAGCCATGCCCTTACCCTGAATAACAGCCTCTTGGCAGCAACACTCAGCTTGGCTCGTTCATCTACCTTTTCTTCATCTGTGAAAAGCCAATAAGTAAAAACTGAGCCTCATTAGAAAATGTAAGCAGCATCTCTGGAACATTTTCCAAGACTGACCTGAAAATCCCTTGCATACGAGAATAGATGAGCTAAATTAACAACTGGGCATATTTCCCTCTCGAGGGGAGCCTGTTCTTCTTACTCAGCTCAGAGGTACTAATTCCTCCTGCACCTCAAATCAAACCGTGTCCGGACAGTGATTTATAGGACAGATTTATGGAAGGAATTTTTCTTACTGCTGAATAGCAGCAGTAACAAGAAAAACCTGCTTATTTGATTCAAATCACTTGTTTTTATATTGTTCACTTTACGATTCTCTTAACTCCTCTCAAAAATAAGAGTGTACTCATCAGAAAATTTCAACTAGGTTTTATTACATTCACAGAAAAAAAACCTTATAGAAAAGCATGAAACTGCCAGATTCTACAATCTTATTCTCTCAAAAACCCAAGAATTTTATTACTTAAATCTAACTTAGATGAGATGAAAAAGAAGAAAAAGGAAAACAGATACTTGCCCTCAATGGTTGGCATTTCTGAACTTGAAGTGTATCTAGGAAAGACATTAGCAAATAATAATAAAAAATTAGTGGTGGGTGTAGGAGACCCAAATAAAACATCATATCAAAAGGAGAAATAGATGCACTTGAACCCTCCTATGGAACACCATCTTTGTAGCTATTCTAGCTGTGAAGACCCGTGTACAGTTGTGAACAGACACAGCGGTATGGACACACAATCCCAGGCAGGTGTACACCTTGTGGAGAGAAGCCAGGATTGAGCTATTATTAAACAGGACTGCTGGTAAATTTTTTGACAAACCTCATCATGTCTGTGCAATCCCATGTGATAATACAATATAAAAACTTAAATATGTGTAGATAGTCATTACAAAACAAATATAAAATTCCTTACTTATTTTCATTGAAAATCTGGTGAACACTCAATCCAAATTTCACAAGACTGGAAAGAAATTAACATTAAAGAAAAATATTTCTTATTTCTCACCATTTGAATGCAGTGTAAGACTGTATTGTGATCCTGGTGGAAAGGTTAAATTCTTTCAAAATACATCTAAATAAGCCAAATGTTATCCCTTACAGATTGGACAGAAGCATCATGGAATCACCAACATCCTATGTAAGCAGTGTCAGATTCATTAGGGTGGTAAAAATCTTGTATCATTTCTTCTACTTTCCTGGACTACGGAACTATGTGCACACATGCCTACCTATCTGATTCCTTGCGTTCTGCTGAGGTTATAGGTTGAGTTCTAAATCTCTCAGAAGTTTTCCTACTTTCACCAGGAGAGAAATAGCGTCTCGGTTTCCGGGCCCCTCTCTCCTGCTCCACACCGGTGGGCAAGCCAGTTCCTCTGGGTGACTGCTCAGCCCGTGTTTGGCTTTTAGAATCAGACGGCAGAGGGTGAGCAGAGGGGAAACAGGAAGGCAGGGAAAGAGAAGAAAGCAGAGGTTTTTATGGAACTGAGGACAGGTGACAGACCCCCCCCCCCCGCATGCCTGCACGATGCACAGACGAGGCGGAGCGTCCCAGAGTGACTCCCCAGCTCCTCATTAGTAGGCAGAAGCAGAATGGTAGTTGGCAAGCCATTTCCCCTACAGTCCGCCCTGCACACGCTGGTGAGCTAAGCTAACGAGGTTCAGTGCGGGTCACAACACACGTCGAGAAGTCAATCACTGTGCCAAGGACGTGCAAGTGCAGCATCAGGAGTGTGTGAGAAAGGTCACCTACAGTTCGGGTTTCTTGCTGGCTCTAGCAGACTCCAGAAACACATTTCTGAGTTGGGCGACGGAGACCCTGGTGTCCAGCATGCTGGGCTCCGAGCAGGGCTCTTCGGCCTTGGACATCTGCAGCTCCAGCTCAGCCGAGTCCGTACCCCTCAAGGCTTGGAGCTGAGGGGGGCCGGTGTAGTCGGACAGCGAGCGGGTGCGGACCTTGTGCTTCTTCGGAGCGGCTTCCTTTTTGGGGTCCCTGCCTGTGGCCTCTGGGGACACAGGCTCACTCTGAATGTACAAAACCACTTCGCTGCGGCCCATCCTCTCGGGGGACTGGTGCTGAGCAGGCGGCTCCTTCTGAGCGTCTAAGGTGGCAGTGGCTTTACCTAGGTCTTCATTCCCAGAGTGGTCTTCCTGGCTTCTCTCGAGCCCCTCATCCTCCGAGGTCACCAGGGCTGGTGGGCTTTTCCCGAGAGCATCAGGAAAGAGGACATCTTCTTCCACCTTTGCTGCACAGATAGGGAGGACTGAGGCATCCCTTCTCTCACCTTCTGGAACCTTCAGGGCGGGAGGCTTTATGACATTCAGGGAGGCCGAGCCCCCCCAGCTGCACTCGGACACACTTCCTGGGGTCTCCGGCGCCGTCAGCAGCTTGACAGTGGGAACAGGATCTGTGGGCTGGACGTAGCCGAGGCTGGCCTGTTGCATGGAGCCACCGGCCCTGCATGGAACCCTCTCGAAGGCCGAGTTCTCTGACTGAAAGGACAGGTAATGGACTGCCTGGTGTCTCCTCTGAGGGAGGGAGTCGGAGGCCAGTTCAGGGATGCTGCGAGCACTGTCCTCTTTCACCAATTTCTCTCTAACTTTAACTCTTTAAGAAAGAAAAAGGATTTAAATTGCAATGTACAGTAACTGCTAAACAGGAAGCGAGCATGCGCAGATCCCGGATTTGCAGTGAGGGGAAATCACCTCATGGGGAACAAGCTGAGGGAAGGTTCTGGTGTTCCATGTTTCATAGAAACCCAGCACTTGCCACATAGATGGTTTGAGTTAGTTTCCAAATTTGCATCTGGAGCCAGTGTGGACCAGATTCACTGTGCCCATGTTGAGCCTAGAGGGGTCAGGTAGTATCCCGAGGAGGATGGGCTCCTTCTGACTAATTAAACGTCTAGCAGCCAGGGAACGGTTCATCCTAAGCAGCATGGTACCCATCAGGGCACAGTGAGGTGGCTGGCTAGGCCCAGGAAGCTTCCTGCACATTCCAGTGCAGTGCTGCATGGACAGGTGTGGGCGAGTTTCCAGGGAAACATCTATGGGTCAAACACTGAGTTTCACTGTCCTTGGAAACGCAAGTTCGTTGTGATTATTTATGTTTTCTATCGTGCCCAGGCTATTCGAATCATCTCTCCATTAAAGCATTCAATGAAACATTCACAAGCTTCTCCATGCAATGCAGGCCACATCCTCCCATTCCGAGGACACAGGACCAGTCTGGACATCATCACTAACAACCGTGGCACCAAAGAGCATTAGAGAAAAGTTATTTGCTGAGAGAATTAATGAAGTGAACATTTCCTCACCGCTGGAATTAGTGTTACATCCTTAGTCAAAAATTAATCTAAAAGGAGATGGCTCTTGTTGTTTATAGTTATTTGAATATCTGAGGGCAAAAATGGAAACCACTTCAAAAGCCCAGGACTCTTTTCCTACTGCAGAAGCAAACCTGTTGTGGGTCCTAAGAGCCTTGGGGAACTTACCTGCCCTTTTTAAGCCTCGGCTGCTTCACCTTCACAACGGAAGGAAGAGTGGCCCGGGCATAGCTCACTCGCCTCCCATGTGCAAGGACCTGAGTTTGATTCCCAGCACCTCAATGTGTAAGTGGAAGTAACAGAGATGTGATGTGATGTCTTGCAGAGCTCATGACTTAGTGCTCAGCAGACAGTCAGCATTTAATGGTGCTAGCTAATTCTTATTTTTACTTTTTGAAACACCATGTTGTAAGAAGGAGAAACCATTCAAACTGCGAATGGATCCCTGATTGGGAATAACCTTTAGGAAGTACAGAGGCATTTGGGATGGGAGAAGTGATTTCTTGGGGGGAATGTAGAACTCTCACATGAGTCAGCAAAAGTAATAGTTTATGAAACACATGTTATGGAAAAGAATAGTCCATTGAAGGACAAGCGTATCCCACTAAATCTGATAAAGACAAATCTGTTTTTAAATATTAGGGCATTCAGGTAGATTCATTAAAGCAAACTCAAAGACTCACGTAAAGGTAACTATAAACAACTTTTGGGAAAAATCACTCCGGGTTGTCCTTTTTCCCAGAGACTATCCAGTGTTGGAGGTTTTCACACTTACAACCTTTTTTAATAATAAAAAAAAAAGGACTGAAATGTTGAGTGCTCCTGTGGAATGTGAGCCTCTAATCAGAGACAATCTGAATGTTGTCCTCAGAGCAAAGTCACTGTTAGGGACTCAAGACACAGTGCTTTGTGCTTCCCGTGACTTATTCATTCCTGCTTCTCTCTCTCCCTGCCCCCAAGCCTAAAAATGAAACCATAGGGGCTTTTGTCTGCTGTTAAAACCACATGCCCTACGTTTAACTCTTGAAAACTACTGGCTTAGAGACAAGGAGACACAGAAACAAGGAGGCCCAGGGCTGAGTGGAGGCGAGAGAGAACACTGTTAATGTCTCACGGATTGGCGGCCAAGATGGCTGGTTAGGTGCTCCCTACTGCCCCCTACTGCCGACTTCTAGTGAGCAGGTGAGAAAGTTCAGTAAAGGATTGTCAGGCAGGGAGGAGGAGAAATACCATCAGCACGGATTAGAGTAACAGGAAAAGAAAGGCAGACGACTAGAAAGCAAGCTTCATTTTAAACACGGGGTTTCCAAATGGACTGCCTCTGAGCAGGCCAAGAGGAGAGACAGGATTAGCAAATGTGTGGAACAGCAAGGCAAGTCAGAGGGGAGGTGGCAGTGCATCCGGGGAACATAGCCACGGTGGCCCCACGCGAGGTACCTGGAGGGCCAGTTGATAAGTGAAGGCGTGTCTCCTTCAGAGTCTTTCTGCAGAAACCACTCCGGCTGGACCCTCCCTGCACTGCCATGTGCAAATAAAGACTGCGTCAGAGAGGGCCTTAGATTGGCGACCTCCACACACACTTCATGATAACTATCAACCGAAAGGCTTTTAAATAATTATCCTGGCTTGTGAAAATACATGTGTGTTTTTCCACGGTTTATATTTGTTTCGTGAAATTTCCACAACACTTGGCTCAGTACAGATATGAAGAAGTAGAAATAAATATACCTAAAGCCACCAAAATGTTTTTCAAGTAATTTTAAGATGTTAAAAAGGAGTCTATTTTAGTCCAGCTCTGCCAACAAACATAGGCAATTATTTTGCAAGAACCTGGAACAAAAATAGAAGGGAACTTAACTTCTACAAGCTTTGTTGAGGCACATTGGGAAGTAGTCAAATATAAAATCAGTGTCTATACAAAACATTACATTCTGAATAAAATAAAAATAAAAATAAATTCAATGAGCTTAATCTGCAGTCGCTGTATTTTCCTTTTATCACTGAATAATACAATTATTTCCACAGTTAGAAATGTCAATTCAGGCCAATCAGACAAAATTTTATTGAACTCTGATAAAGTACAAAATACCTCCTTGCCTAAGTTCGAAGAGGACACAAAGGCAAAACAGGCATCACCCTGGCCATCCAAAATCTTTCAACATGTTATGATAATAATGATGTACGCATTCATCCCGCAACACTCAAATAATGCAAGGCGGAACGTGGCTAAGTAATTCTGCCAGGCTGAAGATATTCTGGAAGAAAATCATAGGCAAGGAAAACCTTGTGCCGGCAGCGGAAAGCAGTCACGGGAGGAGCACTCGCAGGGTGGGTCACACCCTCTCGCCACTCAGAAGGAAAGCAGAGGCTACTTAACTGTTTACCCGCTCGATATATTATAAACCGATCTGCGAGGGTTTCGACACCACGCTGCAGATGCACTGCAGCTCCAGGCAATTTCCAAAACAGCAGAACGAGAACTAAAATTCCATTAACTTAGTCTTCTAAAATCATTTTGGTCCAAGTTTTGGTTCAAACTGACGGGTGAGAGCCTGTCACCACCACTGCACTTCTGGCTGCAGCACGGAACTCTGCCCTAGTCTCCCTTGGACTTGTCTGTTTCTTCTCGGGGCGGAGGCAGGATGAACCTGTGAGACAATCAGTTTCTTCCAGTCTCTCTGTGCTGACCTCAGTGCTGAAATCCTGAATGCTGTACCCTCAGCTGAGACAGGAGGATGGCAGAGGGTTGTCAGAGAGGTGGAGGGGTCGGTGGAAGGGCCTTGCTAAGTGGACAGAGTTTCTGGCTATTGGCTACACTTGTATTTCCTGCCTGGATTCGAACTTGTCCTAGAACAGAGAAATCCAGGGAATGGACAGCTGGTGTGGTTTGGAAGTGACTCCCAAAGGCCCAGGTCTTAGAGCCTGCAGCTCCACCCGGCAGGTGGAGGTGAGTGGAAGGAAGTTAGGTCACTGGAGGCGTGGCCTTAGAGTCCATATTGGGACCCTGGCCCCTCCTCTTCCTGTGCTTTCTGGCTGCTACAAAGTGACACAGATTAAAATAAAAAGAGTGCAGTGGAAGGAGCCCTGCTTCAGAGACGGAGTGAATGGATGGATGGTGAATGATGATGTGGGTTTTATGAGAGCAGTTCCATGGCCTCCATCAAGTTACTGTTTAGAGCTTTCATTTTTTTAAATGTATAAAATAGATTCTTAAAATAATCTCCAGGGTAACTTCTGGTTCCAGGAGTCTGAAGTCCTCCAACGGAGAGCACTTATTCTGTGAGGTCTTGGGCAAGCCAGTTTGCCGAGGGCAGGGCCAACCTGTCTAGGATGGGATTACAGGGAGCCCTGAGACCAGAACAAGGAAGCGGCGGCTTCAGGTGGACCAGAATGGTTTCTGATGTGGCGAGTGTGGGCAGAGAATTCTCTTCAGAGGAAGTAAGAGGGCTCCACTGATCTTCATAAAAGCCAGCAGTTGTTGCTCCAGGGTAGCACCCCACGTACATAATGACAGCCTTTCACTCGCGATGACTCCTAAGAGTCAACAGGCAAAAATGTACTTCCTGCCACAGGGCACAGTCACATCTAGAGCAGTAAAATTAGCTCCACCATGTGGGTGTCCAGCTCCCACTACACAAAGCCTGAATCTCATTAAAATTAACAGTTAATTTACTGAGAGTTGCCTGTTTAGGAAAAAAAATGCTGCTTGTCGTACACGCACAGGGGTACAAATGCACAAGAGCAAAATTTTACATTTAACGTCTGGTACACACTTAAAGTTTTAGCTACTATAGGTAGCAGGTGACATTTTGGGAGATGTATTCATATTTAAGTCAATGAATAGGAATCACCACTTACTAGTGAGAACAGAATTAAATGTTAAAAAGCTGAGCCAGGAGGCTGCAGGCCGTGCACTGTGCTCTCCCGTGCATGTCCCTGTCATTGCCCGACACAGAACTATGGGAGCCTGAGGCACTGGAGCTGATTTTAGACTCAAACTTCTCATCAGGAGTTGGGCAGATGCCATCAGAAATAAGCGACAAGCACCTAGCCAACGCCTGTCTTTCTCAGCACTCAATCTGCAAATTACAGTGCAGCCTGCGAGCTTCATTCTGAAGGGACCCTGCTACATCTTCCTGCGCTGATCCACATTTTCCTCTTATCACTGAATATCGCAGCTGGTGTGACAGACAGATGCTAACCATGTTCATTTGGCAAATGTTCATGAGCTCCTAGTCTGCATCACATTGAGTTAATAAGCCCTGAGGGTCATAAAGGGCACTCAGGCATCACTCTGGCAACAAAATCTTTAGGCGAGAGGAACCCGGATCTACACATTCCTGACATCCAAATGCAGCTCCCCCAGCAACATCCACCAAAGGCAACCGTCCCGAGGTCACCTTCAGCATCTGCTCTCCACCAAACCCCTGCACCCACGTTCTGGCCACTAGTGACATGATTTACTAAGAGAAAGAAGGAGCGGTGGGGGTTGCAGCAGTTAGGAAGAAATAAGGAACAAAGGTGTTCTACAGCGAGTCCCTCTCTAGAATCAAGGCGTGATTCTTGGTGACAGGTGACACCCGCAAACAGCAGCTGGGGATCCCAGGCAGGAACTTTCTCCACCACAGAAGTAACAAATATGGTGCATTTCCTGTTTGTCCCCCCTTTTTCTAAAATAAGAGTTGCACAAAATAGCGATTTCAAAGAGTTTTGGGATTCAAGATTTCTAGGAGTAGCAGTTCAGATTTTTAAAAACAAATAATCCTTAGCGGCTGAATTTACAAAGAATGGTTTATCTTAGTGACACCATCTCTCCAGAAAGCAAGGTCTGAGAAGATTTGGAAGGGTTGGAGGTGTCATATTGGGGATTGCCTTAGGCTGCTCCATTTGGCTACAATGAATATTCCTAGGTTTTTTTGTTTTGAACAATGTGTTCATCTGAATTCCTGCACAACTAGTAACAGGATTTCTGAGCTGAAAACCCTGCAACGTCTATCCAGCAAGCATTAATTAATTTTTAAAAAAATCAATTTATTATATAAATGGAATACTAAATAATTCCAAATAAATTCATTTTTCCAAATAAATTCAAATATTGCCTTAACAACTGTTATTTAACTGGTAGCGATTTAAAAGTAGAAAAACACAATGAAGTATAAGAACTAATGATAAGTACCCACACACAAGTGTGTATGATGTTGCAGGACAGAGGGTGCCTCCGAGCTTGGGTATCCACCTATGGTGTCCCTGAACTTCCAGGTTGGATCCATGAGGGGTGCATTGGTATTTAATTAATGAAAGAAAACAGGTCCTTGCAAGTGAGCAGGAAATAAAATAATAAAATGGAAGTGAGAGAGTTCAGAGATTTAGCAGCGAAGTAACTGGACAGAACTAGGTTATGAGAAAGTACAGAAGTAAGAAAGAGATTCCACTTCTGAGGACAACAAATCCACAAAAAAACGCAGCATCAGGATTGCTTTGTTATTTTATCGGTAGCCATGCCCCACCCTTAATTGTGTTGAACTTTTCTGCTACATATTTCCATGCCAGATGACATTATTGTTTTGTTCTACGGTTGTTTAGGTCACCAAGGTTTCTTTTGTTACCGTTTTAAGTTATAAAGTAGTTTTTACTGTTTGTCTTCCTTTCAGATGGAAACCATACAAGAATGACTTTCTGAAATTTGAATTTCCTGGCTCTAGATAAAGGACATCTAAGCAGAATGTTAATCCATTTTAGCGCCATCTTTGCAAGCTGAATCAATACTCATCACAAAATACAATTTTAAGTTTTGAAAATCTCATACTTGTCACACTTTATTTTCCATCCTCCTTATGTAAATGGGTCCCAGGCATTTTCCTAATGTATCAGTCATGATTTGTGTTTCTTTGCCTGTGACTCATACAACTGCACACCTTGGATTGGCTTCATAAAATAAAGCAAGTGCATTTACAAGTTCCGAATCCTTTCCATCCACTGTTCATGAAAGTAAAGCTAAGTGGGTCACCAAAACTTTTAGATAGCACAGCTTTTCAAAAACCTGTGAGAAATGACTACCGGCTGCTCCTTAGCTAAGGTAATGATGCTTTCCCTCAGTCACACACACACACACACACACACACACACACACTCTGTACATTTTCAAATCTTAAAACAAAGTTATCAAGTGACCTTTTTACTTGGAATATTCAACAAAATTTTCATTACAGCTGACTTAAAATCTTACTGAGATTCTTTGTATCCATGAAGTCTAGGTGGCAAACCTGCATGGCGTGGTAATGGACTGCTATCATCATGTGGCAATCTGAAATTAGATGCTCCTTTTTCCTTTTTAACAGATGGTAACTGTACACTTGTTATATTCTTTTTAAACTGGAACCTGTTAGGTTTCTTTGTCCTCCTCACAAAACACATAAAGGATTTCCTTTGATACAGAATAACTAAACCCAGAACACTATTTCCACTGTGAAATGAGAATTTCCCAAACAAAAGGCCTCCTTTCAAAATAGGAAACAAAGGTCACAGTCCTTCAATTTCAAGTGGTTACGTCTCAAGGCTGAGACAAGGGTCCTCACGATACAGGCCTGTCCTCTACAGTATTTCATTTACCCAGTCCCAGTCCCTGCTTGCCTCTAAGCCGGATGTTTGAGTAAATTGCTCTTTAGATATGACCAGCACATTTTTCAATTTGTTTGGAAACATATTCTCTCCTGGCATTTGACTTTCTTTCTGTCTCTTCCAGTCATTCCGAATGGGGACTGCTCTTGTCTTTGGTGGATCCTGCTACTTCTCTTCCTGCTGACTGTTTTAAGAGGGTCCCGCTGAATTGCCCAGGCTGGCCTTGAACTCCTGAGCCTCTTGCCTCAGTGTCCTGAGCCGCTGGGAGAACAGGTGGCACCGCTGTGCCCATCAACACGCTGGCCTTTGCGATATGGTGCCCTTACACACAACTACCCCTTGGTGTCTTTATGTGCTTGTGTAACTGTGGCAGGGTTATATTCAGTGTGTATTACAGTCACACCCTGTACCCTCACTCAGCCCTACCATGGCCAGTGCGACCCCTGTTATTTGTGATTCTAAGCATCAACAACCAAAGGAGTCACTCTAAATCTCAAGTCTTGGGTATGATGACATAAAAACAGACAAAAATAAGTCATGAAAGGCAGGCGAGAAACATAGTAAAAAGAAGGGTCCCGGCACGGGGCATCCACAAAAGTGTCTCCATTACTCCTGTTTAGTTTATGTTCATAAAACACACAAGAAACACATCTAAAGAAGGTTAACTCTCTTGCCTGGGTAGAGCCTGTTTAATACTGTGGAAATTACCCGCAGGCCCGGATGACTTCCTGGGACGCGGGCCTGCGCAGAATACCCACAGACAAACTCGACCACACCCAGGCCGAGAGAAACCCAAGCCCGGTATCTCGGGTCAGGCTGGGCAGTGCCCGTGCTTACCTGGACCGCGGCTCCGGGCCCCCCGCGGCGTGGCTTGGGGAGGGCGACTGCCGAAGTGAGGGGCTGTGGGTTTGCTTCGGGGACCTTGGCACTTCAGTGAAGGGGCAGCCGCGCCTAGAGAACGAGGACGGGGGGCTCTCAGCCGTCGGGGTCGGGTCGTGGGCTGGCCGGGTGGCGCTCAGCCGCCTCTCTCGTCTTTGGTTTTCCAGGTCGAGAGCTGCCTCCTCGTCAGAAGGGTCCCGGGCGTGGAGCGGGGCGCAGTGCTCGGGTCCGACCACACAGGCCCTAGGCCCCACGATCTCAGGCCTGGAGTAGGCAGAGCTCGAGTCTTTGCTGGACTCTTCTTGCTGGTCGGCTTCTCCTGCCCGTTTCTCGGCAGCATCGGGGCCCTTCCTGGACTTGGGGTAGCGGGACAGGCACTCAGCGTCCTCCTCGGGGTCCACAGTGAGCCCGTACTTCTCGGCCAGCTGTCGTCTCCTCTCCGCTTTGTACCTTGCAATCCTCTCGGCTTTGGACTCCTGACCATGGGGGTCCATGATGCCTGGGTGACAGGAAGGGTCACCATGGATGGCTGAGCTTCCCCTGCAGTACTTAGATCGAGTCTGCTTTTCTAAAGAAGAGCCGGAACTTTCTTCCTCTTCGTTCGATCGCCCTGCAAGAAGAGCACAGGGAGAATGCACAGAGTCCTGACGAAGGCACTTACCACGTTCACTCGGGTGACCACGCTCCCCGGTACGCACCTTGCACCAGGCTGAGGCCATCTGTCACCTTGGGGCACCACCTAATGGATCTAAGGGCCACCGGGCCAGCTCGGGTCTGCAGGGCCAGGGCGAAGGCCAGAGCTGCTGCTCCGGAGCTGTGTGGAGCCCAGCCCAGCCCAGCCGCTGGTAGCCCACAGTGCCTCCACCCTTGCTGTAGGCTTATTTCCCCTTCTTTCTCTTCTTTGTTTGCTTTTGTTTTATACTTCACATGTGAGGTCAAAGGACAAGTTCAGAGTCTGGTAGAAAAGACAGATACTGGAACAGCTACAATTTGCAAAGTGGTCTGTCGTGGTTTGTAGTTCTACAGGATCTGATATTTTATGTATATATGTATGTATACATACACATATGAGGCTTCTTCTAACTGAAGCACACATAGATGATGTAGAAAATGTCTAACATGAAAACACCAGTCATCGTATACACTAGAGAGCTGACAGTTTTATATACTCCATCTATTCCTCTTGGTCTTTTGTGTAGTTCATTTCTTCTTTTTTCTATAGGAAATATTTAATGTTATTAAAGTTTTATATAAAATATTTTCTTATATTTGGAAATCTTATTTTGAAGATAATATTTTAAAGCTGCACAATATTCTATCCCATAGGTATTCCATAATTAATGTAACCCTTGCTATAATGCTGGGAGTGGTTCTAACGTCCATCAGTGTGATTTTCTCACACTATCACAGTAGACACACACGAGTTGAATTGGTTTGTCAAAGGGCACATCATTTACAGATGCTTCCTCACAACTATTGAGTGTTCCTTTTTTCAAAAAATTGCCAGTCATCATCAGCAAAAAAGAATATATGCATTTTCTCACTTATTTTATTGGACATTTCTTCTAGGAAATGTCTGCTTGAGCTTATTACTCTATGTAATGCTGATTCATAGTGCTGTTTTTATTAGCTCACATAAACTTGTATGGGAATATTAGCCCTTTGTCATCTTCATGGGTATTTCTGAACTCGCTTGCTGTTTGCCCTACTGGAATGTTTTGGGGTTTTTTGGTACCGGTGTTCAAACTCAGGGCCTTGCGCTTACAGGGCAGGCGGTGGCATTACTGAGCTAAATCCCCAGCTCCCTTGCTGTTGAATTTTGTTGTGACATCTATGTGTTTGTAAGATGTCCTCTACAGGGCAGATGTAATGTCAACTGACCTGATCATCTGGCGATTTCTTCAACTGTTTCTGTGCCATGAAAGCCCTTTCCCATTCTATGTTCTCATGTTTCCAAACATTTTCTTTAAAACAATCTCATGAATAACTGGTCTTATCTTTGGTTCAGGCATGAAGTGGAAAGAGGGTGCATTACCTCCATCACCCCCTCACTGATGCATTTCCCCGGTACTATTTCATTAAGCAGCTCTTCGTTTTCTCTCTGATATATGAGGCTTAAGCTATCATACACTACACAGTGAACATTTTATATATACCAGGACTTGTTTCTGGCTATGAATTTTGGTATTCTCATCTGACTCTTCTTGATTCTCCATTTACATCATTAAAATAAACCTTAGTTCTCCAGGTTTCTGGCCACAGAAAATTAGAAACTGTAAACACAAACAGTGGATAGCAGGGTGACACAAAGCCAACAGTCCTGTTTGAGCGGGAAATTGGAAAACACTGGCCATAGAAGCAGCAGTACAGTGCCTCAGAGCCAGAGATGGGGTGGAACATCAGTCCTGACCATGCCACCTCCTGGAGGCCACGCTGAGTATCTGGGGTTCCTGATGGCGACTGCCATCAAGGAAAAGCGAGGTCATGTGCAACATGCTGTTTAGTATGAAATCAACATGTAATATATTCAAACTATCTACACTAAAAGAATTTAAATAGGACACTTTACTGTATAAACAGAGTAAGGCCCTTATTCAGGCAGGTCCAGCTTTGCCTTTAACTCTCCCTCTACTGGGCACCTGGGCATTAGGGTTAAGCTACTATGGCCGCTGCAGGGCACCTGTGTCTTTCATTCGTCTATCAACAAGCCTGTCCGAGAGTCTCTGACAGCAGACACTGTGGGCAGAGACAGACACAGAGCCTGCCTTGAGGGATCTCGGAACGGGGGACACAGCCAGTCATCCGAACCAGCAGTGTGCCCGAGGAGCTACTGCATTTCTTACCGTTGTGCATCTGAGGCCCACATCTGGGAGGCAGAGTGGAGCTGATTGGTTGTTGTGGCTGTTTAACAAGCGCATTTATTAAAAAATTATATACACACAATGTGCTTCCAAAACTCTCATTTCCATTACTGCTAGGTTGGAGAGGCGGCAAGTGAGAAGTGAGTGACACTGGAGCCTGGTGGGCTGCGTGGTGCTGGGCGGCTCACCGGAGCGGGGGCTGGCGGGGTCGGAGGCGCGTGTGTATCTGGGCATGTCCTCCTCCAGCAGGCGGTGTGTCACCAGCCCCGTGCAGCTCTGCAGGAGGACCGGCTGGGTGTCATTCTCAATTCCTTCCAAGCGCCTGGCAATCCTTTCTTTTCTGTGCAATACATCCGAAAAGGGCACCGTGAGGCATGGAAATCAATATGAAGGGACGACAAAACAGGGCACTGCTTCGCCGAAGTCTTCCTAGCGACCCACTAGGAATAGCTTACCTTTTCATTTCTAAGCGTTCTTTTTCCTTTGGTTCAAAGATTTTTCTTAATTCTGCAACTGAAACAAAGAGCAAAAAGAAAGTGTAATGGTTAGTAGTCATGTTCTCATTCATTCTTGCAACACAGGTTTGTTGAACTCACAATTCTGTCCTTTTCTTCCATGAGACAAAGTACAGCACACCGAGTTCTACCTGCTTGGAGTTTGTTTTCTACTGGGGAGGCAGACGCCCATGAGCAGGTGTGTATACCTACAGCCACACACAGCTGTCACATGTGGAGCCAGGAAGCGAACTCACACAGTAAGGGAACAGCCCTGTGTCACCCTGGGGAGTCAAAGGAGCCTGACTTGCAAGTTCTCTCCAGAGAGGAGTTTTTAGCAGAAATCTCAGTGTCTATCTACGTCTCACTTTTGCTAGGTTTAACCAAGTTTTCTAAGCGTTTACTCTGGAAGCCATTTACAAACCCAGAGGCCAGTCCTATGGAGCCCGCAGGTCACCGTGAACTCACGATGTCACCACTCATGGAGTCTGTGAATGTCCATGACCACACAACTGTTTCCAAGACACATGTTAGTGGCAAACCTTGTGTCACTGAGCCTTAAGCTTCCCCTCACTGCAGGGACACGCTCTCGTTTTCTTCCTTGCTATGGCTTCAGGGATGATGGACTTAGCTGGACCTGACAACTCAGTTTTTCTGGCAGCACTGCAGGTCCAGAAAAACATGTTCTGCTGAGGCTGGGAGGTTCTCGTGTGAGGCCAACTACAGGGAGATGCCTGACAGTGGCTTCTCCAGGAAGAGGCCAAAGCTGGTAGAGAGTAAAGGTCTCTCTCTCCTTCTGCGCCTGTGGGTCCCCAGGTCCTCTGAGTGTCTTCTTTGTAGCCAGGAAGGGGCAGGAGCAGAGGGGCAGGAGAGCATGGCCAGACAGGCAGGGCTGACACCCCTCTGCAGCCTGAGTCAGAGGAGGTCGAGGGAGGGAGTGAAGACGGAATTTAATCTTCCACTGCTCCAGATTGTTTTCAGTGGTCATATTTAGTAGTGAGTCAAACCATGTCTTTTTCACTTTTTTATTTTATTTTATTTTTTTCCTTAAATTCTTTTATTGGTACATTTCAGGCATATAATACGTTTACATTTCTCATTGGGAACTTGTACCTTTACATGATGTATCTTGGTCCTTATTCTTAAAAACCATGTGTTTTTATAATGCTTTTTGTGTCCAGTATTACAATCCTTTCCCCTTTATTTTTAAATTAAAGAAAAACCTTTAAAATATTAAAGTTTTAGTTGAACTGCCATCCCAGATACTTGGGGGACTGAGGCAGGAAGATCGCCAAATTCAAGGCTGGCCGAGACCCCTACTTGAAGCATATCTGCAATCCCAGTACCCCGGCAGGCTGAGGCAAGATTGCAAGTTTGAGCCCAGCCTGGGAAACTAACTTAGTGACCTAGAGAGACTTTGTCTCAAAATTTAAAAGAAGGACCTGGGATGCATCTCAGTGTGAAGGCCCTGGGTTCAATCCCTGGTACTGCAAATAAACAAACAAACAAACAACTTTAAAAGGGCTGGGAATGCCTCCATGGCAGAGCACAGGAAGGACTACATTCTACCTCCAGGGTGGTCAAAACCCCTCTCCCCGGCTTCGGAAGGTCTGAGTTGCCTCTGGAGTCAGGGTGGCTGTAGGCAGATACACATGTGCCTGCGGGGTTGACCACTTTCCTCTTGGAAGACGAGGCCCAGAGATAACTGGAATCCCACCTCTCTATTCTGCATGAGGAAGACTGGCTGCTAACAGCTTCCCGGGCAGCACAGTCAGCTTGGGTGAGAAGACAGCGATCAGTCTTTAATGGTGAGCAGCACTTTGTTTTACGATATTTTCAATATTGACATGTGCCAAGGAGTTTAATTAATTATTTAAGCCCCACAGAGGAGTATGGGACTGGCTTCTTCATCAGACTGGTCAAGAAGTCCGGCCTGAAAGGTATATCTTCAACCCCTGCCTCGAACTCCTGAGACCCAGAGTGGTATTAACGGGGCCCTGCACAGCATAATGATCATTACCTTGTCTTCTCCCAAATTATTTCAACTGGGAACATATAAAAGCATTGACACACAATGTCACACAACTCCTGCTGGGAAAAGTTAAGATACTCTTTTTGTGTTCTAATTACAGACTGTTGAAAATCGCTTTCTCATCACTGTTTTATTTTTAAATTTTCCTCAGAAATTTACAAGTAAAGATATTTTTAAAAAAGGTTCCAGCGGTATGTTTAAAGGCTGAGTGACAGTTTGCTTCCTGCCATTCTTCATTTCCCGTATTCTAGGAGGAAAGATCAACTAAAAATAACACCTTTGTAAACAGCTTTTAAAAACCGATGGGAAATACTGTGTTTGAAAATAGAATCACTAAACTACCTCTGAACAGTAAAAAAAACAACAAACCAACCAGAACCCCCTGGGAGACCCTCCACAGCACAGTCCTACTCTGCCCATGAGAAGCTGGCCCTGGCAGGGTGGCTTTCGCTTGCCCTGTCTTTGCCGGCATAAATCCTGAAACACTTACCTAAGTGATTGAGACACTACCTGCTGAATGGTCTTTCTGTAGAGTAAGAGAGCCCAGAACATCCGGGCAGTTCAGGGGGCACTGGAAACACGAAGTGCCTCTTCACTCTCTAGCTCTAGCTGGGCACCGATTAACACAAAGCCTGTGAACGGCTGTGGTGTTTCACGCGCAGCAAAGTGCAATGTTTGTAACAGGTCCCGGGAGGTCAAGGTCAATTGCCATGTGGAGGCAGAGGAGAAGAACAAAAGTGAGTGCAGCGCCTGCCAGAGAAGGAAGACCCTGCCCACATGTAGCCTTCTTGCCTCTGCCTGCTGCATCTCCTTTTCCTACCTAGAAAGGCCTTTGGGCACCAGAGTATGCCAACAAGGTGTTCTGGGACGACATTCCCCTCGGCTTCTCGTGGCCCTCGAATAAACCTGACTTCCTTCCTCCCAACTCCACCTCCTGAGTGCTGGCTTCTGAGTGTTGAGCAGAGACCGCTGGTCCAGTGACGTAACCACCATGCTACAGTACCCTGTAAGGGCTTAGATTTCACGAACAGGGACGGGACAACAGTCAGAGTACTTGATCATCACAGCAGCTAGCCCTCAGCCTGGCAGCTTTGCTCAGCAGCAAAGCGAGGGATGGGAGAAGGTCAGGCCATCACCCCCGGGGGCCCCTGCCCCTTCTGGACAGAACAGGCCGGCCACTCTGCCAGTAGACACTGCCAAGGGACAAACACTGACCTCTGGGCACCGGGGGGAAAGTCTCTGGGTCACATCAAACAGGCACCACACCATGGTCACAGACTCGGAAGCCGGAGTGGCAAACGTGAGCCCTGCGCTGCCACACGTGGAGTCATCCTGGCTGTCCTGCAAAATGCTAAACCAACCCAAGTCCCTGTGACAGAGATGCCTCCACCATAAAACCAAATACAATGGAAAAAAATGCCTCCACATTTCCAAAGGCCCCAGAGGCTGTCCTGGATTAAGAACCAGTGATTCCTCTAGAGAGATATAAAATGGGCATCTATTCCCCAGGTGCCCGTGCCCCACGTTACCCGAGACAGAGCCCACCAGCCCTCGCTGCACCCTCTTCAGTCACCCAGAGATCCGTCCTCAGAACTGCTGGCCCCAAAGGCAGCCTCCGTCCATCAGCAAAGTGGGAGCTTGGGATTACACCTCCTGGTCCTCTCTGATCGCTCTACTAAGGAATGGGTGAGGCTATCAATTAAACTATATTTTAAAGGTACCGAAAGCGTGGTAATCCTCAGTGGAAGTGTATACTGAACATTTAAGAAAACCTTAAAAAAAATCCATACAGCAAAGAGCTAATCACCCCTCAGTCTCTTCCTTCTAACAAATATACACCCCATTTCCTAGGGTTTGCCTCCTACCTACACATGGGAGGCTGTGAATAAGACATGACAGGACCAGACGAAAGAAGTATTTGAACCTGGCTTCTTTTCTCCAAGCCCATATTGTAAGAGCACAATCAGGGGACAAACATGTAACTCGGTAACTGTGGCTTATCACGCGGGACCACAGGGCCGGTCCGTGAGAGCCTGACGGTTTACTGGGTCTGCCGTGAGTGTGTGCACTGCAGCAATCCTCCCCTTTGTGTGGGCGCTCGCAGTTCCCATGCCACCTTCCAGCTACACTTTTGGTCAGGGTTATTATAAAAACATTGAACAAAGCTAACAATACAAATCACAGATCGAAGTCAGCCCTGCTGTGGAAGTATGTGTCATAAGTCCATTGATTGATGGCTAGAGACTACTCTCAGTTCTATCAGTTATTTTCTTGTGATCCTGAAAATTGCCTGAACATTTTTATGTAATTTCAGACTTGTAGAAAATTTAAAATTCCTTTCATAATATGTTAACATTTTTACTACTGATGGACTTTTATCCTTTTTCTCTCTTAATACATACATTTAAGCACATATATATGTGTGTCTTCATACACCTATAATGCCTATATAATTACATGTTATTCTTAACACCGTAAGACTAAGCTGTAGCATGATATCTCTTTATCTCTAAACTCTGCAATGTGCATTTTTACAAATAAGCAATAAAATGTTCTTTAAAATCAGATTATTCAACAGCTATAATTCAGCTGACTGTACACTGTGTCATAACTATAACTCACAAACGGGTCAGTTTGGTAATACTAGTTATTATATAATATAGATTATAAACAAATGTATGTGGTCCAATTTCCATTGTGATAAAAAATGTTTCACTTTGCTTTCAAATACATTAAGACTTTCATGCATACTGAATTATCTCTTTACCCCTGCTGCCTTTGTTCCTTGGTTTTATTTGAGTGTTTGGAACAGAACCTCTGTGCAATATGGAGCTTACCAGTCATTTCTCTAGGTGGTCAGGTTTCGAGTCAGGCCATTTAAGAGTATTTGATAGCAGGGCTATAATATGCCACAGTTATTTACTTACTATTCTTTGTAATAAGAATTATAACATGAATATTCAGGATAACTTGGTCTCCTCTTTGCTCTTCTTGGGAAACAGTTTCTTGGATTAGTTCCCAGCACAGAAGTTTTCTGGGAAAGACACTGTTGAGTTTACTCATCCAAACCTGAGCACAGTAGACTCTCCCAAAGCAGAAGGTGGTAGGGGACACCAAAGACTTCTCTCCCCTTCTTCGCTCGACAGCTGAAAACACAAGCCAGCCTGACACATCCACACACTGGTCTCACTGCCCACTGCAGTAAGGTACTCTAGTTTCCACACTTGGACAGCAGCCACTGACAGAAAGACAACAGCTGATAACATAAGTAATGACAAACTCGAGGAATAAGAGGAAATGGCTGAAGGGTACGGGGTTTATGAATAATGAAAATGTTATTCGTGAAAATGAACATGGAGAGGGATGCACAACTCTGTGAAGGTACACAAAGCTGGGACTCGTGGACTTGCACTTGTTGAACTGTACGGTATGCCATAATAAAACTGGTTAAAGAAAGCAAAGCATTTGGCCCATTTCAGGAAGCCACATGTGCTTCAAACTCCCAGGCATTGGAGACCCTCCTACCTCAGCCTCCTGAGCAGCTGGGATGAGAGATGCATGTTCCTGCCCCCACCCAGCGCACTCCATCCCCAAGTGGAAAAGCTATCTGCACGTTATAAAGTCTACATAAGCAAAGATTTTTATCTCCTCGATTTCTTGTTTGTGATACACAGTTATGGAAGGTCTCCAAGGAAAAAAGGAATGAGTGTTTTCATGTTCAGTGTCACAGGAGCATTGACCCCTCACGCCGTGAATGGAAAGGAGCTTCTGCACATGAGAGGCAGGAAACTGTGGCACTGAAACAACACTACCGTCAGTCCCTCAGCATCAGCATCATGCTGCTACTCATCAATAGACAAAATTTGCCGGATTCTGCCAAGGTGAGAACCAGAGGCTGCTGCTAACAGCTCGTGTTTCCAGGTGTGTTTACACAGTCACCGAGAGCAAAGACTACAAGGCCGCAGGACTGTGGACACTGAGATGAGGGTCAGAGGAAGGGCAGGGGCACTTTTCCAACATGCTGTAAAGACCGAAAGCCCTGCCAGGTGTGGTGGCACAGCCCTATAATCCCAGCATTCTGGGAGGCGGAGGCAGGAGGATTGCCAGTTAAAACCCCACCTGGGAAACTTACTGACTTAGTGAGATCCTGCCTCAAACGGAAAAGAAAAGGCTAGGGTGCTGGGAATGTAGCTCAGTGAGAAGGTCCTGGGTTCAATCTGGCTGACACACAAAATCAGCACCGCTTTGCTTTGTGCAGATTCTGTTTTATAATAAATTTTATATTAGATCTGTTTACTAAACTGTCTCTTTAAATTTTGTTATGTATGAAGTTACAATATGAGTCTTAAGGAAGCTAGCATCTCATGTTTTTTTTTACTTTTTCTGAATGTGCTATTTTCTATGGCTTGCTTTCTTTTCTTTCTCTCTTTTTTAGAAAAATTGGGTGAGAGATTCATTACGGATCATAACATACATATACGCATTTCCCACAAGACACTCCCTCATGGTTGCCAGTCTGTTTATCAAATCAGCTCGTCACAAGCCCCCACCATTCTCTACATAAAGCTGTCCCCACCTTACGAAAATGAGTGAGAAATTCTGTCAAATTGAAACTGTGAAATTTTTTTTTTTGTACCTGGGTTCGAACTCGAGACCTTGTGCTTGTGAGGCAGGCGGCAGAACCACTGAGCTAAATCCCTGGCTTTTCTTTCTTTCCAAATAGGCAGAGAAGGGGGCAGTGGGACGCTTTTTCTACATAGAACTGTACCTAGTGAGGCAACTCTTGCAGCTATGGCTAAAATCAATTTGTTTGCCTTCACACTCTGCTTTGATCCCAGTCGTAGACTAAACATTTAAGTCTGGCTCGGGTTAAACTGGGCTCCCGTCTATCCCAGAGCCCAGAAGGATGGAAGGACCATCCCCTGCACACCTGCTCCACTCATGCATCCGGGTGGGAACTGCCAGCGTCCAGCCCACCCTGGGCACACGGCCACGAGCCTGCCCCGCCACGCTCAGCAGGAAGGCCTGGCAAGACCACAGGGTGCTCTGCTTCCTTTGTGGGTACAGGAGCCCCTCTATGTGTGGTTTCGCTTTCCCTGGTTTCAGTTACCTCCAGCCAACTGTGTTCTGAAAATATTACTATTTGTCTCAATTCTTTGAAAAGAGAGAGAGGAAAAAAGACCACATTCATGTAACTTTTATTAGAGTGTATTATTATAATTGTTCCTTTTATCATTAGGTGTTGTTAACCTCTTATGGTGTCTAGTTTATAAATTAAACGTCATCATGGATAGCGTACGCATAGGAAAGCACAGGACGCGCAGGGGACAGTACTGTCTGGGTTTCGGGTACCCCTGGGGGCCGGAAGGCACTTCCTACAGAGAAGGAGCCCCTGCACCATGAGCTATCGGGATTTTTGTTCAGACGAAATCTCATCTATCTCCTTTTAAATCTGCACCTTTCTTCTTATTTCTTGGCCTCTGGAGCAACAAGGAATAAGCCTATATTTTATTTAACAGCGTTTTTAAGTACTTGAAAATGGCAACATGTCCCTTTATAAGTGCTCTTCACTGAACCAAACCCCTGGAATATTTCCAATCTTCAGCCTATCAGCCTGTCTCAGCATAGCGCCCAACAACTCCTCTGGACACATTCCAGTTCCCCAGTGCACCTTTTCAACTGGATTTACTTTCTATTCAAAGAATATTTCTTTGGGTCTAATTTCTTTGAGGCTTGATCTTTTTTCTTTTCCTTTTGAAACAGAGAAAAGGGATCAGGATATTTTGTGAGCTGCTACTAAATGATCATTCTTTGTGCTAGTGTTGCACTTAGTAGGAAAAAAAGATCAGCAATGTTTACATTATTTCAGAGGCAAAACTAGAGGCTCAGGGTGCAAAGATTTTATGGCATGCACACCTTTACCAGTGCAAACAGCAATCACCAAACACGGGAGTATTACTAGGGAAGACGAAAGATGATTATGTTGCAGTGAGCACCCGCTGTTTGAGTGTGAAATCCCTAACTCAGTAGCAGCGAGTGGCACCCGAGGGGAGTGGGAGTGGGGGTGGAGGTGGCTGGGCCAGGCGGGGGAGACCCAGGCCTTTGGAGAAGGTTAAAGGTAAGAGAGAGGAGCGGAAGTCGACTGCTCTCCCTCCCTCCCGACGCAGCCTCCACAGACACTGTGAGGACTCCCAGAAGGAAAGGGCAGAGCCAGTGGAAGAGCAGAGAGACACTAGCCGAAGCTAGCTCTCGGGCGGGGGAGAAAGGGTGCCCAAAGACACCCCACGCTGGAGGTTAGATCCCACAACACAACCCTTAACATGTGCCCAACACTGGCTTCTTGTGCGGAAAAAGTCTTACCTTTTGGAAGTGCAGGTACAAGCTTAGCATCGAGTCCTCTTTTGTGGTTGGCAAGTTGTTCTTTATTCTCAAGCAAGAACTCTTTCTGAAAGCTAAAAGTCATTCCATTAACAAAGTGTTAGAACTTGATTTAAATCAAGGTACAGGATAATAAGGGAGAAAGGCAGAAAATAAAAATCATGTCATCATTTCACACAGTTAAATATGTGCAGGTATCTAAGGAGTGAACAGTTTTATTTGGCAAAGTATATTAGTAACTGTTTCCAGTCACTGTATATGATTATGATTTTTGTGCAACTAAGAAATTACATCAGATTGGCCGGGCATGGCATGTGATGGAATGGGGCTGGACCCAGAATGACAACCTCTCCTAGACCCTAGACTGCTGTGTAAGCTGGGATTAATTTCTCAACATCTCTTCACTACAGTTTCTTCCTCAGGAAGCCAGCAGCTTGCTGAAGTGATCTAACGTTGTCTTCTAGTATTAAGATTGTTTTAAAGTAGCAGTGCCTTCAAAGAACCAAGACATCAGAGCACACTCAAGCAGTATGAAAGGCTTGCGAAGACTGATCTTGGAATAAAGGAGGAAATGAAAAGGAGAGTAGTGAAGGAATTGAGCACTTCCCGTGCACTTCCCCTCTGCTGAGCGTCTTCCAGGTGTGAGCTCCATTATCTCCACAAGGCCCCGTGTGATGCGCCCCGTGTGATGCACCCCTCAGATGTTTCACAACTGGCTCTGCCCTTCTGGCCCTGCAAAACAGTGGCTGCTTTGCAGTAGTTGCTGGTGGTGTAAATCCTTCCACCATGGATGGCTACTTCATGCTCCTGTGGGGCTCACTCAAGTCCAAGTCGGAGAGAGGCATGCACAGGAGACGGCAGGGTGTGAGCTGGCTGGCTGCAGCTCAGCTCCGAGTTTGCATGACACACCCAGGGACACTGGACAGGCGAGGAAGACACGATTCCAGTCCAGCTCCTGCCCCAATGCTCTCATGTGCAGCTGGCCCGAGCCCCCTGTTACACCACACAAGGTGGTGATTCGCTGGAGTTGGGCAAGGTAGAGGGGCCTGCTGCCTCAAAGGAAGAAAACAAACCCAGGAAAAGAGAAAGTCATTATTGCCCACCACCACATATACCGCCAAAAGAGAAAGTAATAGGGCTGGTGTGAAACTGAGCTTCCTTCTTGCTACGGTATGGCCAAGGGTCCCCCAAAGGCCCATATGGAAAGGCCCAGTCCCCAGGGTGGCGCTCTCAGAGGGGCTGTGGATTCCAGGAGGTAGGCTGGCCCTGCAGAAGGTCCTCAGGTGATTGGGGACCCTTGTCTCTTCCCAGCTTGAGATGTGACCCCTTGCTTCGATGCATGGTCCTACCAGGATATGCCGCCATCTCCTCAGGCCCAGAGGAATGGGCCTACACTGGAATCTTCAGGCCTATGAGCCAGAATAAGCCTCTCTTTACCTCCTACATGGCTTGTTCAGGTATTCTGTGGCAGCGACGTGAAGGTGACTAATACACCCCTGCACCTGTCCCTCCGTTTGTGTCTCCCTGTGTGTGTGTGTAGGGGGGCAGTGTTGCACTTCCCTGGAGTCTGAAAAGAGACAGAGAAAGTTGCTGTCCCACTATCTGAGCGGGTCCCAGGAGTAATCCACACCCCAAACATGAATTAAATCTGAAGCAACAGCCACACATCTCAAAACACTGTGCACTATCCAGACGGGGTAGAACCAAGCCCACCTGAAATTTTAGCAATCGTATGTCAGTGCAGTGAAGGTTGTATTCATGAATATGTACTGTGCATTTATTAAAGTACTGAGAATAATTAAACCTTATGAAGCCAGTGCTAGATTGGCTTGAAGACCCTAGGTTGCCTTTCTACTCAGAAACTTAAGCATTAGCACCAGCATCTCCATAGTGAAGTGTTAGGCAGTGAGGGTCATTTTGTATTTTATTCAGATCCATAATTTAGTATAAATCTAAAAAAATAACTGCAGAAATGTACCCTACTGAAGGAATGGCGTGTAATTTTTAACTGAGCATTTAACTGCTAAATGAAATATTGTGATATAGTGCTATTTTGTGGTTCACGGAGTCAAGCCTAGGGCCTCTCACATGCTGTGCACACGCTCTACCACTGTTACATCCCATCCTGGAAGCATCAATAAATATGCATTAAGTGAATGAGTGACCGACCGCTATGAAATACTCCAAATGCAGACTACAATTTGCCCCAGAGCGTTTTGTGTATATGCTGTGTACACTGTTAATATGATAGCCAGGGGCAAAAAGTCATGAAAATGTCGAGAATCATTAGATGGTCATGTATTCAGCAACATCAGTTATAACCAATCTTCCCCTTCCCTTCCTCGCCTTTAGAATAACATACCAGTGCTATTCTGTGCCTTTAACATCTGCTCACCTTGCACACATGTGTGAAATATTAGCATGTTTCCATACAGGTATAGAGTAATCTCTCTTGAAGCCCACAGCTTCGTGCGCACAAGCTAGGGTCCACATGGCTGTTGACATTTGCTCTGTGCCTCTTGCTGCTCTCCCTCACGGCTGCCAGAGGCCTGACAGCTTCTGAGGAAGCAGATGGGTGGACAGGAAGGATGAGCGGACCGGGCTGGATCCTGTGCTCTGGCTCCAGAGGGTCCTCAAAGCTGGGATTAATGCAGGACCCCCTAACTTCACACAAGATGTGGGGCTCTTAGCCAGTATCACATCTCTCCTGGAGACTGAGCAGCAGCGAAAATACAGGCAAGACATCCCTGTAAGGAATCCTGGTCCGGCCACCAAGGGGTAGCTCCGGTGTCATCTCTGGGGGTGAGACACCCCTCCCTCCCTCCTGAGTCATCAGAGTGCCAGGGCAGAGTGCATGCCCAGCTCACAGAGTTGGAACCCCACAGCCTTGAGCTCCAACGTGGGCCCTGCCCTTCCCCGTGTCCCCACTCCTGTCTTGGGGACGAGGGTCCCTGGAAGGACAACCTCTGCAGGCCTTGGTGTGTCCCGTAGCTCAACTGAAAGTTATGAGCCTGTACTGCAGCATGAAACTGCATCTCCCTTCATAACTAACACAGACTCCTTTTCATACCATAATTTAAAAATTAATGTTAAGAAACATTTCGTATTTTTACCCAACTATATCTTTGAAATAGCATTCATTCTTTATGACTCAGGTTTTCATAGCTTCACCTTCCTTCCTCTGAAAAGACCTTGCCCCTGCTTCCAGGGCACTTTCTTTTTCTTTTGAATGTGTCCTATTAACCTATTTAAATGTCGAGAAGTAGCAACAAAGGGGAATTTATTAAAGGGAGGGCAGGGTACCCTGCTGCTATCGTCCATTCTTCATAGCGTGGATGGCATTGTCACTACAATTCCCAGGCACCCACGCAGGGGAAGGCTTCTCTGCAATCTGTCCCCTCTGCTACTGAAATGTAAGGCATAAGATGAGGGAGGTGAAATCCCACTACCTCACACTTCCATCTCTCCCAGCTGGGTCTGGAGGACTAGATTCCTTTCCAGGACGCAGGTTCTTGCATCTCCAATACATTATACATTTAGTAATGTGCCCAGCAGGCTGTGGTTTTGATAAGTCCACAAGAACCTACTAATAGGTCCACATGAAATAACAGACACAGCGTAGGATTGGTGAGTTCCTGGTCACTACTGTCCACTGAACTGTCTGGCTTTTGCATTTCGTGCTTTTCTTACCCTTGAATATGCAATACCTTCCTGGTTCCCTTTCCTTTTTCTTAGTCACTCATTAGCTCTACTACTATTAAGACAACCTGCTAGGGACATATTAGGAAATAAGCCCCAGGTTCTATTAAAAGCATACCAAAGATGTGAAATGCAGCTGCATTAAGCACTACATTCATGAATTCATCCTTCAGTTATGACAACCGTGCTGGTCACCTGGGGTCGCTACTACTCTAATTTACCCTATGTTCACCTGTGCATGAAACACACCGAGGATGTGTACCATCTAGTGTGTTCCTAAGATCAGCACCCCAGTTTTTGAGCGTAGAGTTATGCTCTGCCTGAACAAGACAGGAGTCAGACAACTGTTTGCTCTGATTCAGAGCAAATGCAAGCACTTTCAGTAAAGTGACAGCGTCACAGCACATGAAGAACAGAACACCCATGTGGGGTGAAGGGCAGGTCGGGGCTGTGTCCTCCCCTTGCAGTTTTAGGTTGAGATCCGTGCCTGAGTGTGTCGGGGTGACTGTGTCTCCACCGGAAAACACCCAGCTGTGACTGTGACTGAGACCTACAGTGAAGCGCCTTCCGGGCACACGCTTCCACTTGGACGCTGGTTTATGCCCATGATGATGTGCCAGCGGGCCTTAGCACCATAGTGTCCCACAGCCAAGGGCACTGGGAGTCAGACAGATGAGAAGCGAGAGATGCTAAGACCAGGCAACAAGAACTCACGGGGACCGATGGGCGGACACAGACAGGAGGGGGAAGGGAGGAGGAGGGATGTGTGAAAGGAAGAAAGGTTGAGCGGGAGAGAGAGAGGGAGAGGCACAAAACCCTTTCTAAAACTCAAAAGCTTCCTCACTTGCTGGACAGATTACAAGAGGATATGCCAAGTTTCAAGGTAAGTGGGAGGAGGAAAAGATTATATCTCTTCATAAGTTTGTAATTGTAAGCACTCTAAATATTCTAGTCCTCAGTGAGATCCCATGAATGGCATTAACTACAAGGAGAATCTTATGTCCACTCGCATCATACTTACATAACATTAATGCGTGTAGACAGGAAGTGCTAGGGAGCAAACCGAAGGCCTCATGCACACCAGGCAGCTACAGTGCTCTACAACTGAGCCCCGGCTCCAGCAAGTGATTTACATATTTCAGCAACTAAAACTGGGGAGGAAACATATTGCCAAACGCTTAACCTCCTGAGTTAGGAATCGAAGAGACTGCAGCTGGAGGTTGGCTCAGTGGAAAAGCATGAGGCCACCACGGGCAAGGCTCTACCTTTCATCCCCAGCACTGCAGGGGGAAAAAGAAATTTAGGGGAATCATTTCAAAACCTACCACAAGTCTCCAAAACTTAATATCCCTTGAACAAAGCCCACTTTACCTTGGAACTTTTCTTTGATGTGGGAATCCAAAGAAGCTTAAGTTTTTCTTGTTGAAATCTAAGAGAAAAGAAATAATGTAACATTGAAATAGTTACCCAGTAAATTAAAAAAACCCCAACAAACTCCAATGGGAAAACATTTTCAAACTCCCCTTGCAGGTAAAATTTAAGAAAAAAGAAAACCATTAACTAGATAAGACATAAGACTGCAAAAATGACAAATCCAAGGCATCAAATTCCATATATAAATTTTACATAGGCAAATGTTTTGTTTTTCTCTACTGAAATAAAACTGTCCACATATTTCATAGGTTCAAAACATTCTGACATAGTTCAATGCTATCATTTAAATTTGTCATGGTAACAAGAATAACTAGAAGGAATTAAATGCTAGATAACACAGCTACATATTTCAGAAAAAAGAAAAAAGAAAATAAGCAATTTTGACCCGGGTAAACAGAAATATCAAAAATAATCTACCTGATAGGATCAGAGAGGTCTTTAAAATGGAGGGGCGCCGTGCATGAGACGTCAGCTGTACTTTTACTGTTTTCATTAAAATCTAAACAACAGCGCATCAGAATAATCACCTCTTTATTTTTGAAGATAAGATATATTATGTAAAGACAGCTGATAACAATTCCACACAGGAAAAACACACACCCTGAGTGAACGGGTTAATCAAAACCAGGCAGAGATGGAATTTATAACCAGTCTAATGGCAAGTAATCTGTTTTACAGCTTTTGCCATAGCAACCGTTTGTCCGCCCCAAAAACCACAAGCAGACCTCTTCTTCGCCTGAGGAAGTACCTTTTTCTGTTTAATATTTAGGAGCAGAAGCCTGAGGAATAAGAGGAATAAAATATACCAGATGCTGGCATTCATTACTCATCACTGAAATACATCCCAAATCCCGAGATTTGGAAATTCTGGCCAGCTAGAGAGACACAATCAAAGTATAATGCCGATTAAACTTCTAGGGTTTTCTTCTAATTATACAAGCATCCCATTAACTATTTAAAGGAAGAGAACTCAGTTCACAAAGCTATCGAATAGTGCAGAAGGAAACCCCTGAACCAGAGGCCAGAGTTTTCTAGCCACTTTCAAATAATGCATCTGTGCTATACAATATTTTCCACACATAATGGCTGGGTTTCAAATCGGACACTGAAAGTAACCTCAGCATTTTATTTCTGCTCAAATGCTGAGTAGGTGATACCACTTCAGTGATTAAATTGAAAGCATGTATCTTCCTCTGTGCTAGAAAGGAAGCCACTGAAAAGACAGTATTTTGTTCCAAACTGTCTCACATGAAGAATAAAAAGAGACTCACTCACCATTGCCTAGGAGATATAATTTAGTACAGACAGCATTCGGTTTTGAAAAATGTTTTGGCTACAGTGCAGCACATCTAGAATTTGATCCAAAGCTGAAGCATTCCGATTTAATTTGCAATCTTTCCTACATAAAGACTTTAGTGGGTCAGCAGTGTCTCTAACTCATTTGTAGAGAAATGTACATTTTCAGCAATCACAAGATAAGCTCATTTATAAACTCAATTAGATATTTAAAGTATCCTATGATAATACTGTATCACTAACTCGGCACCCAGAACAACAGGGGAAATGTAGGATCCAAGGCAAATACGGTACAAAACGAACACAGAAGTGCGTCTTTTATTTCTCTTGCCTTACCTTGTTTCTCAGAGAACTTGAAAGCTCCCAAATAGCTGGAAATTCCTGAGCTTCTGAACATGGTTGCACAAGGTTTGGAAACAACTACAGCTAATGCTCAACCAGCAACGACCTTGGTCCAGTCTAAGCAAAACTGGGTTGAGACTGATCACAGGGCACGGGGAGAGCGGCCAGGCACTCATGTCCTTGATTGCACAGTAAATGCAAAGGAAAAGGCTGCAAGCTGGAACAAATCAAACCCCTTAATCAGATTATAAGCAGAAATTAGGCCTGGAGATGCTGGAACAGACCTGGCTCTGGAGATGGGACAGTTATGAGATTGCCACTGCAGAGTCCTGGCCCTGTCACGTACATGCTTTGGCTGTGTGGACAGTGTTACAATCTGACCACCACAGGGTGTCAGAAACAGCTCCTCCTTGCCCTAAGAACAGACAGACGGACAGACAGACAGACAGAAGAAAAGCCTGCAAGGATCTCAATGTATAGGGAGGAAGGTGGAGCCTCCTAAGTAGTCCCAGGCTGTGCCACGGTTGGCTTTGGCTAAGTTAAATGAAATATTTTACCTAATGGCGAGCCAAACATTCATATTTAAGAGTTAAGATTTATAAACCCCAGATGAGTGAAACAGTGGGAAAAGAAAGGGAAGATGGTACTAGAGGTTCAAAAAGTTTAATGTGAGACAGAAGTTGTTAATTAAGCTCTACCAATAAGACTGTTCCGTATTTATGAGCAACTGCAACGTGGACTCAAGCAATGATAACACAGTTTGGAAGAGAATCACAATCACTAGAATCTGAGGATTTCATGGCTAAAAGGTACTACGGAGGACCAGGAGAAATGGGCTCAGTCAGAGATGAGGAAATTGGGCTGGGGAGGTGACTGGATGCTGGAGAGACCACTGGCACCACAGGATTTTGGGTGGGTGGACAAAGATCATGCTTTAGGGTCCTCAGGGGGGACCCTGAGTTTGTCTGTCTCTCCATCTTAGGTCTTGTACGCTGAACCTGGCACAAAGTAGCTGTGCAGCAAATGTTTGTTGAATAGCTGTGGACAATCATAGGATGGTTTTTCTGAAAGTTATAGATGGTACTTTTAAATGACTGCATGGATTTCATATCCTGTATTCAAACCAGATCGACTTAGATGGAGGTTCCCAATACCAACACCCAAGTTGAAAATGCAGACTTATAAGCCAAATGAGTTGATGTGTGTGAACACATAAGGTTACATTGGCACTGGTTACTATGTGGGTCAGCAGCAGCATCTGGCATTTCCTCTCTACTTCTGATGACCTCTTATTAAACCAGAAAGAAATATGGCAAGTAGTAGGGTCGTAAAAAACCACAGCCAGGAAAAACAGCAGGAAAGTATGGGAGGAACACTTTATTGTAAGACCACAGATGATTAGGAGCAAAAAAGAAGAGGTGTTGGAGAACAGAAAGGGGAGGAAACAGAGGAAGCAGTGATTCTGGGAAGAAATTAAATAGATGAGCTGAAATAGTATCTATATTGATAACTATTCAATAAAGAACTTAGTTTATAAAACACAACATCACTTACTCATTATCACTTCCTGTAAAAACCTCACCTCAATTATAATCATTCTACTACCAGGTCCCCTCCAGGTGCTACTCCTGCATCGAGACATGTCATGCCAGGTGCCATGACCAGCCACCTCTCCTAGGCTCTCATTTCTGCCCCTTCCCTGCAAGCATGTTTGCATGCCCATCTAAAATATTTACTTTCACAGCTTTTTAATTTAAGGGTGAAAACTTTACAAATATCCAGTAAAATACTTTGCTACCATAAGTCATTGCTCCTGAATATTATAGACTACAGTGCTTTAAAAATAGGCAATGTTCTTAGGTGGATGAGCTGGCAGGGAATGGAGTGTATCCCTTCTACTGGGGCTGAGCTGTGGGTTAGGGATGCTGTTGGGGAGGTCATATACCACCATCGCCATTAAATAAAACTGACTTCTCTTGAAATTTGAGAAAATTACTACCACAATTTGAGAATTCTCTCTGCAGATAAGTGAAATATGTGAAATTATACAATGATATAAAGAAATGTTTGCCTATTTTGTAGCTCCATTGTATGAATGAGCTGGCCTAAAACAATAGTTATCCTAGGAATGATAATTTATTATAATTATTGGAGAGAAAATGGAAATGTCTCATGGATACTTTCTGTTGATGTAAAATGTAGATTTCTTCCCACTCTTACTTGATTTCCTGTGAATGGGATTCTTTTTTTTTTCCACTGAATTCTTTTAGTGGTACATTTTAGGTATACAATATGTTTACACTTATCGTTGGGTGTTTGTATCTGTACCTGATGGATCTTGGTTCTCATTTTTCCCCCATTCTCTGCCCTCCCTTCACCCCCACCACCCTTCCCTATTTACATAGATTTCGTTTCCATTTTTTTTTCTCATAATTTTTCCTTTCTTTTCTTCCCTTTCCCCTTTCCCTCCTGCCACCCCTCCACCTTTGGACCTTTTCCTATTTCAAATTATCAATTATTCATTATTAATCCTTTTAATCCTTATTTACACTTTCAGTTTCTAACACTAGAGAAACTATTCGGTATTTACACATGTGTGTCCTATCTATTTCACTTAAGAGGATGGCCTCAATGTACATTCATTTAGCTATAAATGTCTCCAGTTTCTCATTCTTTATGGCTGAGTAGTACTCCATTTTATAAAAAAAACACATCTTCTTTATCCAGTCTCCAGTTGATGGGCACTTGGGCTGTTTCCAAGCTTTAGCTATTACAGACTGTGCTGCTGTAAACATGGGTGCCCATATATCTCTGTGGTATGATTCTTTTAATTCTTTGGGGAAGATACCCAGCAGGGGAATAGCTGGGTCAAATGGGACCTGTAGTCCTAGTTCTTTGAGGTATCTCCATACTGACTTCCACAGTGGTTGCACCAGTCTGCACTCCCACCAACAATGGAGAAGGGTTCCTTTCTCCCCCCCCACCCCCCCATCAGCATTTGTTATTTGTTGATTTCTTGATAGCAGCCATTCTTTCTGGGGTGAGGTGGAATCTCAGTGTTGTTTTCATCTGCATCTCTTGAATGACCAGTGATATTGAACATTTTTTCACATGTTTCTTTGCTGCTTTTACTTCTTTGTCTGAGAAATGTCTGTTCATTTCAGATGCCCAGTGAATGGGATTCTTAAATAGTACATTAAATTTTACATCCATAGTCTCATGAAGAATTCTGTGCTTCCCCCCCAACAGTGAAACCACATTAAGTCAGTTTGTTTTGTCTCATAATTGATAGGTGAGGCAAATAATTCCAGTAACATTCTCCTGCCACCTTAAAGAGAATAGCCAAATTCTTTGCAT